CATAGATAGAAGTAGATCATAGATCCCTAGAATCTAAAAACTGATATTGTTAAATCTGTTAGTAAAAAGACAATCAATATAGTTGATAGTAATCTAGACAATCAGTTCACAACATATCCAATAGATTACATATAAAAGATTAGCATCAGATATATCATGGTTTTCAAGTCTGGTTGTTTTAGTCAATAAAAACACCTTTTAATCGGTTAAATAAACTTAAACAACAGTTTTCATTACTGTTTTAATCGATTTAAAGTCGAAATAATCGATTTTTTTACTAAAATTTCATGTTTTCAAAATCTTAAATGTTTTAATCGATTAAACCTTTCTTTCAATCGATTAAAATCATTTGCCAAGAAAATTTTAACCGATTATGCTCTGTTTTTAATCGATTTTTATTCTGAAAAGAGGATTAAAGGCTTTAGTTAATGGCTGTTCCTATAACATGCTACTAAAGCGTGATTCCTTTATCTTTACACGTGTTAATTGTATTCATTACAAACGTGTTAATGGAGATAAGTTTGAATCAACTTTAATTGATTCTTTTCATGAGTGAAATATTGATTCACTTTTTATTTTCAAAAACTTGAGCACATTTCAAATCTTACATTTTTATTTCCCTTCTATACCCTATTTTTGATGATGTCAAAAGGGGAGAAATAGTTGCATCACTTTAAGATAAATTTAAGAGCAACAGTTTAGGGGAGAAATAAGTTTTAGGGGAGAAATAAAACATTATTACATTTTTATATTTCTCACCTAACCTCATTATCAAGTGACTTATTTTGCAGAGATTGTTTTTTCAAAATGGTGTTTGTCTTCATCAAATAGGGGGAGACTGAAAGTGATACTAGCAAAAATCTCATTGATTTGATGAAGTCAAAGATAAAGTCAAAGGTCAACTCTGCAACAGTCAAACAAGTCACTCAGAAGAATGGAGCTGAAGACTTAGTGTGTCTTAACAGAAAGCTTAGGTAAAACCACTTTACCTTTTTCCACTGCATGAAGCTCCTTCACTCAATTTGCAAAATGCCTCAAAAATAGTTTTAAACAAATCAAACAAAAGCATTTTGACAAAGAACTTTCTTAACAATGTTTTTAAATGATATAGTTTTAAAAGAAACAATTAAAATCACTTAGAATGCGTAAAGAAGTGTTTTTACAGTATTTTAATCGATACAAACTTCTTTTAATCGATTAAAACCCTTTATGACCGATTAGAATTCGAATATGACAGGTCAGAATGAAATATAATCGATCAGACTATAAAAATGAGCGATCAGATTTATTTTAATCGATTTAAACACGTTTCAATCGATTAAAACCACTTTGGAAGTCAGGATGATCGATCAGAATGAAATTATGACCGATCAGAGTTGATTATGATCGATCAGAATTGAATTATGACCGATCAGACTTATTTCAATCGATTAAAACGAATTTCAATCGGTTAAAATAACTTGAAAATTTTTGTACAGAGTTTCAATCGATTAAAACGCATCTCAATCGATTAAAATAACTTGGAAAATCTTTGTACAGAGTTTCAATCGATTAAAATGCGTTTCAACCGATTAAAACAACTTAGAAAATTTATGTGCAGATTTTCAATTGATTAAAACTTCTTTGTATCAGTTAAAATAACTTGAAAAGTTTTATAAGAAAGTTTTAAAGCAAATCAATCGATTAAAACGTGAATCAATCGATTGAATCACACTTAGAAAATGTTTGTAAAATGTTTTAACTGATAAAAACGTGGTCGTATCAACTAAAACAATTCTGTTAAAGAAACAAGAACGCATTAATGGGTTGAAAGGACTTTTAACAGATTATAACGGCTATTTCAACAGATTAAAACAAACTTTCAACAGATTAATTAATGCAGCAGATTTGAAAATTCTCTTTAAAAACAGTTTTGCTTGAAACTTTTAAAGTGAGATTGAACATCAGTTTTTAAACATCCAAAGCAATCAATTCAAGCAACTGTTAAGCATCCTTTTCCAAGAAAGATTCGTAACTGCTTTGTGAACTTCTTTTTGAAATCTTTCTTGAGGCATATTGCATTCTGTGAAGAAGAAACTTACTGTGGATTAGAGTAATCCGGTTTGAGCTTTCTAAGTCTCTTCTTTGTAAATTCTTTTTCATTACTTTGTATTGTGTTGTACCTGGAATTTGGGTACAAGTTTTCTGCAGCTGGTAGGTGGTTGTAGAAGTTTCCAAGAACTGGAATTTGGTTCTTGGTGGAGAGGTTGAGTACAGGAACTGGAATTTGGTTCTTGTACTGTTTGGTGCCTGGAATTTGGGCACTGGTTTCTCTGCAACTGGAATTTGGTTGTAGAGGTTTTCAAGAACTGGAATTTGGTTCTTGGTGAAAGGTTTGGTGCCTGGAATTTGGGTACTGGGTTCTCTGCGGCTGGAATTTGGTTGCAGAGGTTTCCAAGAACTGGAATTTGGTTCTTGGTGGAAAGGTTAAAGTCAGGAACTGGAAATTGGTTCTGGTGTTAGAGTAGGTGTAAGATTGTTGAGTCTGTAAAACATCTATTCTAGTGGAACCCAGCTGGAATTTGGCTGGAGACTGGACGTAGCCCTGGTATTGGGTGAACCAGTATAAAATTACCGGTGAAATCTTTCCTAACCTTTCTCTCTTTAATTTCAGTTGCTGCGCTTGTATTGTTTAATTGCTTTGTGATTCGTGAATTGATTAGTAAACTTAATTTTCGAATTAGATAATCTGTTTATTGCGAAAAACTTTCAAAAATCAATTCACCCCCCCTCTTGATTTAAAACTACTTTTCTAACAATATCAAGTCTGGAAGAATGGGAAAACCAGAATTACTACTTTCAATATGATTTCGTTTAGGTTCAAATGTCATGTCTGGAAGAATGGGAAAACCAGAATCACTACTTTCCTTATCTTCCCTGAAACTCTCCCCTTGAAGATAAGGTTGATGGAAATAGCCCTCTTGTTCATTGAAGGTAACATCCCTAGACACAAAGAATTTTTTGGATGGGGGGTGGTAGCATTTATACCCTTTTTGAGTGGGTGAGTAACCAACAAAGACACACTTTAAGGCTCTAGGATCAAGTTTTCCCCTGTCTGTACTATGAATATGGACATATGAGATGCACCCAAAAACTCTTGGTTTAAGATTATTTGTAGTAGACAAGTTTGGATAGAAAGACGACAAAACTTCCATAGGGCTTTTTGATCCTAAGACTCTAGAGGGTAGTCTATTGATAAGGTATGTTGCTGTAAGGACAGCTTCCCCCCAGAAATTTTTTGGGACACTTTTTTGGAACAACAATGCCCGAGTCTGATTTAATAGATGTCCATTTTTCCTCTCTGCGACCCCATTCTGTTGTGGTGTTTTGACACAAGAGGACTCATGAATTATACCTTCTTTTTGACAAAAAGAATTAAGGACATGATTGAAGTAATCTTTGGCATTATCTGACCTAAGCCTCTTAATATTAACACCAAACTGATTTTTTATCATGGAGTGGAAGTTTAGGAAGACAGAACTGACTTCTGATTTTTGTTTAAGTAGGAAAACCCAAGTGACCCTTGTACAGTCATCTATAAAGGTGACAAACCATCGAGTACCAGACACATTTGGAATATTAGAAGGTCCCCATACATCAGTATGAACAAGATAAAAAGGGAAATTGCTAATTCTATTACTTATTGGAAAAGATATACGTTTGTGCTTAGCAAGTTCACACACCTCACAATGAAGACTCTCAACATCTAACTTGGTAAACAGAGAGGGAAATATAATTTTGATCACTCCAAAAGAGGGATGTCCCAACCGACAATGATAAAGCATGATTTTTTCTCTGTTGGTCATCAAGGATTCAGATATGAAGGAGTGAGAGATTCTATTCTTGCTGGGCAGACTTGGATCTTCGAGATAATAAAGGCCATTCCATTCTCTAGCATGTCCAATCATCCTCCCCGAATCCTTATCCTGAAATACACAATGATCGTTGGAAAAAACAACTTTACATGACAAATCCTTTATAAGTTTTTGTATAGACACTAGGTTCGTGGACAACTTTGGGACATGGAGAACGTCTTTTAAGGTTATTAAAGGATTGATTTGGATATTTCCTTGACCAGCTGCAGTTATAAGGGTTCCATCTGCTGTGGCAATTTTCTTGTTGCTGGGACATGGGGAATATGTGGAGAAGTGTTTGGCTAATGGTGTCATGTGATCTGTGGCTCCAGAGTCCAATATCCAATAATGGTTAAAAGGCGTATCTGAGACATTTAATCCAAAAGAAGGTGGAAACTTACCTGAGTATGCCAAAGAACACATACCTGTAGGTTTTTCCAGCTTACTAAGAATGGTTTTCACCCTTTCTATCTCCTCTTCCCTTGACATTATAGCAAAAAGGTGCGATGCAACAACAATGCAGGCTGTCGTCTTAGGATTATGAAAAATGCAGCAGCAATGCAGGCTGTCGTCTTAGGATTAAGAAAAATGCAGCAGCAATGTAGGCTGCCGTCTTAGGGTTAAGAAAAATGCAGCAGCAATGCAGGCTGCCGTCTTAGGGTTACAAAATATGCAGCAGCAATGCAGGCTGCCGTCTTAGGGTTTATCGAGCGCAGACAGAGCTTCCTAGATCGGAAGCTCTGATACCATCTGAGAAAAATAGATTAACTGAAATATGATTTTTTATTATATCAATACAAAGAGATGATATAAGATATATACAAGAGACCTAAACTATTTTAGGAAATATAATAACTCTATTTTATGCTAGGATCCCTTGATTTATGGGATTGTTCCTAATTATTCAAATCTGTACAGATTACAAGGAAATATACAAATTTCCTTATTTATTCTTTCCTAAAATACTATTTGATTTCTCACAAACCCTAAACCCAAGACATCATGCCCTTATTGTTATGATCTATGCATTTAGTTTACATCTCATCCTTTAGACCACATATTATAACTGAAGCTTACAAACATCAGCTGAACACACTAACTTACCAATCACTCACCTATCTAGGAAATCTGTACATTTATATGTGTGTGTGTATACATCTTCACTGCTATGTACATCAGTGATATATGCATATGAGATCTTTTTCAAGGTATTTTCTTAGATTTAGGAAAGAAACAGAGAGAGACCAACAATTAGGATAAAACCTGAAGACATTAGTGAAATACATAAAGTATGAGATATTAAAACATTTTGCCTCTGAAAACAAGAACATAAGTTGAACATAGAATGTGGAAAACATTTTGCCTCTGATAATTTATCCATGCCAAGGTAGTGTAAAATGAGTTGTGTGGTTGAACCATTCACTATAAGTGTTAAAAACACAGTTCCACCAGTGAAGAAAACAAACTGCACAATCAAAAAACAATGGAGTCAGTTCATAAAGACAATTAAGATATCAAGGATTTCTAGGTTTCAATGACCTTGCAAAATCTTAGAAGAGTCATGCATTTGAAACTTACAAGTGTTACATTAAATCATAAATTGAAAAACATACCAGTGTTCCTGTCTCTGGAGTCAATTCAATTGATTTGCCACTTGAACGCTAAACCAACCAAAAATTTAATAATTAAACAATTTAACTACAAAAATATGGACATGAATGTAATGATAGCCTCGTATGAGCACACTTTTTTCCTTGATGCATACGTTATTAAGGAACACGATTGCTGTGGAAGTTCTGGAGAATAGATAGATAAAGCAATATATGTCGTATCCTTTGGTCAGTATTTAATTATGATGAACCATTAAATACAAAATGTCATGTTGAAACGCATTTTTTAAGACATTAATTCCAAGATACGATCATATGCGTTTGAACTTGCATCAATACGCAAGTAAAGATAGGAAAAGAAAAGGAATGAAAATACAAAAGGTTTAATTGAAGTTATATCCCTATAGGAAACATAAATGTGAGATTTTGGTTTTAGGTTTAATTGTCTGTCACCATGTGCATTTTGTTTTGTTAAAGGAGTTAACTTATTGACATATAATAACAGTTATGTGGAATAGGAATATCCTTCTCTCTTTTCAAGTTCCCTTAAAATAAAAGTTCTTCCTTTCATCAGAAAGTATCCAAAATTACCTATCCCCACTAGTAAACAATGATAAGTACTTATAATAGGGAGCTCTGTAAATATGCATCCTTAGTCAATGAATACATGCCTTAACTGATAATGAAAGTGCCAAGGCAACTGCCCCTCGCAATCCTGACCAGATGAGAATAATAGCTCCTTTCCAATCCAAACCATATCCAAAATATCTTAGAAAGGGAAATAATGCTCCAACTACAATGCATCGAGACACTTGAACATATGCATAGAGAAGCAATAGGTGGGTCCATGATGCTCCTAAAACAGACCCAATAACTTGTAGTCACTCGTTTTGACATAACAAAGATGAGTATGAACAAGAGCTCCATGCACAGCAACATTAAGAAGATAGAAAGAGCAATGCAAGACATAGTACATACATATGTGATTTAAATATTTAAAGAAATTCTAGGCTCTATGGACTTGTCAAATCCCCCCGCTAACTTGGAAATACAGCTTTATCCAGCATAATTAAGATTCATCAGCACATTCAGACAAGATTGCAGTAAAACTCCCATTTATTAACATTTTTTTCATGTATTTGCACTCATTATACTTCATGGTACACATTTGCCCAATAGAACATAAAACTAACAATATAATCCATAGCATAGTGAAAAGAAGAAAAAAAACAAGAATATACGAAGTGATTCTTCAAGTAATACTACCATAATAGAAAACAGTGTTGTCACCAAGTATTCCTTCAGCTATAACAACTCCACTACAAAAAAAATGATGTGAAAATATTAATGGAATTGATATACTAGTGAGAATGTCCTACATTTATTAAACCACGGAAACATTTTCGGTTTTCAATACAAAACAATTAAAAGCTTGTTTCACAAGTTATATCAATAGTCTATGATTTAAGATTCCGACCAAGCCCGTACCTCAAAATGAATATTAAGGTATTAGCAATATAAGCAATCATTTCCCTGGAGAAAAGTAAATAAATGATTAAAACACAATTGCATTTGACTACAAAATAAAAATACAGAAAATAAGAAGATTTCATATGACAAATATAAGGTGTGACCTTGCTGCAGCAAGGTTTATAGTGATTAACTATGTTAGAGATATGCTTTTGTAAAGTCTTTATTCTTTTAATTTTTGAACAGTTGTTTGTTATTTGATAGTGTTGAAAGTCCCACATCGCCTACCTCATATCATTTGGTATGGTTTAAATACATGTTAGGCTACTCCACATATTGCCAATTGGTTTTATGTTGGAACCTTAACATGGTATCAGAGCCAAAGCCTAACATCTTTCCGGTTATTGTCATGGGCCAAAAGTTGCCCTTTAGTTGGGTCAAAAGTACCCTTTGCCTGGTCCGGCGGGCTTCGTTGGAGGGGGTGTGTTGAAAGTCCCACATCGCCTACCTCATATCATTTGGTATGGTTTAAATACATGTTAGGCTACTCCACATATTGCCAATTGGTTTTATGTTAGAACCTTAACAGATAGGATTGAAACAGTGAGCAGTGATTGCAAAGGAGGAGAAAGGAAGAAAACACAGAAGAAGAGGAAGAGAGTAACACTGGAAGAGAGAAAGTTGGAACCCGACGGTGTTCAAATATGAGGAAAAGATTACAATTGTTTTTGTGTTTGTGCTATAACTTGCAATTCCTATTTATAGGAATTGGCAGCTAGGTACAACAAAAGAAACAACTAACTAACAGAGGTATAACAATGCTCCCTCCATGAGATAAACCTTGTCCTCAAGGTTTGAACGAGGGATAGCATTGTTTAAAATCATAAAAAAATTCCCAAGTGGCATCTTCAGGCAACAAATGTTTCCATTTGACCAGGATTTTCGTGACCGGCAAACCCCTTTTTTGACAGTGATTCTATCAATTCTCCATGCAATTGACAAGGCTTTGCGATCATCAGGCCCTCTGATGAAAACCATAATGATGTTCATGGTTGTTTTAGACAATGGCCTGAATCCACGGTTCACAAGGATCCCCACAGAACAAGGTGGTTCCTGCAACACATTCTTGTTTATGTCACCGAATGCATTGTTGGCTGTTTCCAACACACCTTCTGAGTTTAGTTCTTTGTGGAATGGAAGGAGAATTAGGCTTGCACGTTTCTCTTCTGTCACATTGTATATATCCTGATGGATTGTTTCATAGGTTGCAACAGTACCTGATGTGTCATCGTGTATGAGCCACCTTTCCTTCCGAGGTTTGTATATGTTACCCAACACTAGAATATCTGTACATTGTAACAGTTTCCAAGCTCTAATTATTGGTTGGGCTTCAAGGACAAAATCATCATGTATGAGCCACCTTCCCTTGTGAAATTGACAAACCATTGTTTGGCCAGCTGGAGGCGTCAGGCGTGTCTATTTTTGGTTCACCATACTCATTTTGTTTGACAGCAACATGAGAACCGGGTTTATGAAGGCTGCCAACAAGTGCAGCAAAAACTCTATCATCAGGTGTTAGACCCATTCTCAACATCTCGTCATACAACTTAAAAGCTTCATCTGCTCTCCCCTCCTTGGATAAACCACAAATAATTGCTGTATATGTCTTCACGCTTCCTCTTATTGTTAGAAAAGTAGTTTTAGATCAAGAGCGGGGGTGAATTGATCTTTGAAAGTTTTTCGCAAATAACAGATTATCTAATTCGAAAATTAAGTTTAAAGATCTGTTCTTGAATCACAAAGCAATCTATCAAAATAAACGCAACAACTGAATTTAAAGGAGAGAAAGGTTAAGAAAGATATCACCGGTATTTTATACTGGCTCACCCAATACCAGGGCTACGTCTAGTCTCCAGCCAAATTCCAGCTGGGTTCCACTAGATCAAATGTTTTACAGATTTACAATCTTACACTTAATCTACCACAAGAACCAAATTCCAGTTCCTGCACTCAACCTCTCACCAAGTTCTTGATAACCTCTACAACCAAATTCCAGCTGCAGAGAAAACAGTGCCCAAATTCCAGGCACCAACACCTAACCTTTCACCAAGAACCAAATTCCAGTTCTTGATAACCTCTACAACCAAATTCCAGCTGCAGAGAAACCAATGCCCAAATTCCAGGCACCAAACAATTCAAAAAGAATGTAAAGAAATGAAAAAGAAGAAACTAGAATGCTCAAACCAGTTTATGCAATTCTGCAGTGAGTTTCTTCTTCAAAGGAAAGCAAGTTGCCTCAAAAAAGATTTTCAAAGAACTTCTCAAAAACTGATGCGAATCTTTCTTGAAAAGAGTAATAAAGTTTGCTTGATTGATTGCTCAAGGATGTGTAAAAACTGATGTTCAAATGTGTGTTTAAAAAGTTCAAGCCAAACTGTTTTTATAGAAGATTTTCAAAACTGCTGGTTTAATTAATCTGTTAAAAGATTCTTTTAATCTGTTAAAAGTGCAGTTTAAATTTGTTAAAACTTCTTTTAATCCATTAATACGTTCTTGATTCTTTAACAAATTTGTTTTAACTGATACGACAACGTTTATATCAATTAGACAACGTTTATATCAATTAAAACAATTTATAAAAAATCCTCTAAGTTTATTTAATCGATTGTTTCGTGATTCAATCGATTGAAATACTGCAAAACTTTCTTATACAACTTTTCAAGTTATTTTAACTGTTAAAAATAAGTTTTAATCGATTAAAACGCTGTGTAGAAAATTTCTAAGTTGTTTTAATCGATTGAAAAGAGTTCTGATCGGTCATAAATGCATTCTGATCGATCATCCTGAACCCTTAAGTGGTTTTAATCGATTAAAACCTATTTTAATCGATTGGAAAGAGTTCTGATCGGTCATAACTCAATTCTGATCGATCATAACTGATTCTGATCGGTGATAATCGTATTCTGATCGATCATAATGAGCTCTAAGTGGATTTAATCGATTAAAATCAAGTTGTATCGATTAAAATACTGTAAAAACATTTCATTTAACATTTTAAGTAATTTTAATCGGTTATATCAAAGCTGTATCAGTTAAAGAACATGTTTAAGAAAGCTTTTGTCAAAATACTTTGTTTTTTATTGTTTAAAACATTTTCAGAGGCATTTTGCAAAAAGTTTTAAGTGAAGAAACCTCATGCAGTAGAAAGGATAAAATGATTATACCTAAGCATTCTGTAGACACACTAATCCTTCTACTCTTTTATCTTAATGACTTGTTGACCGCTGCAAAGTTGCTTTTGACTTCATCTTTGACTTCATCAAATCAATGAGATCTTTGCCAATGTATTTCAATAAGATCTTCATCACTTTCACTTATGCCCTTTACCAACATTTCATTGAAAAGCTTCAGAGCCTTATCTACCTTGCCAACTATACATTCCCCATGTATCAGTGATGTGTACGTAAATACATCTGGCATTATCCCCTTCTCTATCATTTTAGATTTTAACACATGAGCTTGCTTTACTTTTTCTTTCTTGCTATATGCATCTATTAGAGTATTATATGCAACAATATTAGGCACCACACCCTTTTTATCCATATTCCCTAAGAACCTCTCAGCTTCTGCAAAGTTTCCTTCCTTACAATATATCTCAATAAAAGTACCGCAAGTCACAACGTTTGGAGCCACTCCTTTCTCCACCATCAAATTTAGTGTTCTCTTGGCTTCTTCATACTTATGCAATTTACATAGCAAGTGTGCTGTATGTAAACACATCTGCTTAGATACATGTGTTTTCTGTTGTAGTGGGTTTTTTCGCTTGAGCGAGAGAGAAGCTATGATCGATTAGTTCAAATTATAATCGATTATAAATGTTTTCGCTTAAGCGATGGATGTCTCGCTTGAGCAATAATTGACCACGGTCCAACGCAGTTACCCCATCAATTCTCGCTCGCGCGAAGTAATAGGTCGCTTGAGCGAGATATGACCACAGGCTAAACGTCCAACGCAGTTAGCCACATAACGCAACTTTGGTCACCACGTATTTTAATCAGGTCTCGCTCAAGCGAAAATACCTGTCGCGTGAGCGAGAATTGACTGGAGATTATCCCTTTGTTACAGATTTTCTCGCTCAAGCGAGGAGTTTCTTCGCGTGAGCGATAATTGACCTGAGATTACCCCTTTGTTACAGATTTCCTCGCTCAAGCGAAGTGGTTCTTCGCTTGAGCGAAATTTGATTGCGCGATATAATCGATCATAATATAAAATAATCGATTATTTTAATACATGAACAGTAAAAAGTATTATTTGTGTAAATAATGTTCCAGATGTACTATTTTGGGAAATATTTTTAAAAATAGTATTTTCTATGAAAAAAAGTCTAACTATGAAACCATTATTAATGAAATATTTTTATCTTCACTGTATAAAAAAACTATAAAATATTAACAAAATTGATTTGATTCAATTTTATCATTCATCAAGTGTATAAAAAGTTCATTAAAAAAATAAATTATTTAACACAATTTCGTTTTCTAAAATTTTTAGAGGATTATTTTCCTTTTTCACTAACTATTTTTTATATTTATTATGACTTTATTTAAAATGATTTAAGTTTATGTACAAGGAGTAAGTTTTTTATTTGGTCTTATAATTATTTTTCTTTTTTTTATAAAGTTAAAAAATATCACATATTATCTATCATAGTATATGATATTAATTAACTATTTATATGTTGATCGAAAAATTAAATTATTATTTTAAGTGATTCTATATTAATGCTCTACATGTGTCACTTAAAATTTATAAAATAAATATTATTTATTTACAATAAAATTAGAGATTAAAGATAACGATTTAAAATTTTTGCTGGATGGACTAAAATCGAAGATCACATATTTGATACGGACGCAAAGAGTGATTTCTAATTTTATAGAATAAAAAACAAAAATTTTATAATGACCGAAAATCAAACTAATTTACAATAACTATAAATATATTTAAACCAATTTTTCTCTTTAAGTTTTTTTTTTATCAAACTCTTATTTATATCATATGTGTAAATCATTGATAATATATAATTTATTTATTATGACAAAACTTATTGATATAAAGGATTGTATTTTTTTTAAATATTTATTGTAATTTATTTAAATTTTGAGCTTAAATTAAAATTATGGCATGATTTAAAGTAACAAAGCGAAGTAAAAAGTGTTGCCCGAGAACCAATTCTTATGCACGGAATGTGTTCGCCAATTTGTGTGCTGAAGAAGCTGCATCATCAACCCCTTCTCTGTTTTTGGTGGAGGAGCAGAGTGCAGAATCATTCTTCTCTGTTACCATCTAACAAATTCTCAATCCCTCCCTCCTAATTTTCACATATTTTTCAATGTGTTCTCATTCCCACAAGACCCTTTCGAGGTTCCTCACCAACTTCACCTCCTTCCCCTTGAACCCCCAACATCTCCAACTCGCTCATAACATAACCCAAAACCTTCTCAACTCCACCCATTTCAAACCCCACTCTGCGATCCCCTGCATCGCGCCTCACGTCACTTACCATGTTCTCTCCGACCCCTCTCTCTCTCCTCGCTCCTGCTTATCCTTCTTCCACTTCCTTAAAACACAAAACCCCAAAAAACCAGACCTTAAGGCCCACCTGATCCTCCTCTATAGACTCTTTTCAGCCCAAAAATTTGCATCAATGAGAACCCTTTTGAATTCCCTTGTCACTAACGTGGAAATCAAACACCCTGTTGCGGGTCTTGTTTCTTTAGTTGATGAATGTGAATGGGAAAGTAAAAGTGAAATTGAGTCCAATTTTGTTGAGAAACTGTGTGACATGTTGTTCAGGGTGTGTGCTGATAACAAGATGTTTAGAGAGGCTATTGGGGTGTTTGAATATGTAATGGCAAAGGGTTTGGTGATAGATGGTAGGTCTTGCTTTGTGCTTTTGCTTGCCTTGAAGAGATGTAATGATGTGGAGTTCTGTGTGAGGTTCTTTCGTCAGATGGTGGAGTCTGGCCGCGTTAATATCGGGGTTCAGTCTTTGACTCTTGTGGTTGATGTGCTGTCTAGGAGAGGGCAGGTCGAGAGGGCTAAGAAGTTGATGGAGGAGATGGCTGAGAAAGGCATTGTGAGGCCGACGGTTTTTACTTATAATACATTGTTGAATGCTTGTGTCGTGAGGAAGGATCGAAGGGGGGTGGATGAGATTCTGGGGTTGATGGAGAGCGAGGGAGTGCAGCCTTGTTTGACGACGTATACTATTTTGATTGAGGGATATGGGAATTCTGGGAGAATTGGGGAGGCTGAGAAGGTGTTTGAGGAAATGCGTGATAGGAATGTGGAGATGGATGTCTATGTCTACACGTCAATGATAAGTTGGAACTGTAGGGCGCGAAATATTAAAAGGGCCTTGGCTTTGTTTGATGAGATGATTTGGAAAGGCATTGCTCCAAATACTCATACTTTCGGTGCGATGATTAGCGGTGTTTGCAAGGTGGGGCAAATGGAGGCTGCAGAAATCTTATTGGATGAGATGCAGATTAAGGGGATTGATCTAAATGTGGTGATATTTAACACGATGATGGATGGGTATTGTAAAAGAGGGATGATGGATGAAGCTTTCAGACTTCAAGTTATCATGGAAAGAAAAGGGTTTGAAGCAGATGTGTTTACATACAGCACACTTGCTAGTGGGCTATGTAAATTGCATAAGTATGAAGAAGCCAAGAGAACACTAAATTTGATGGTGGAGAAAGGAGTGGCTCCGAACGTTGTGACTTGCGCTACTTTTATTGAGATATATTGTAAGGAAGGAAACTTTGCAGAAGCTGAGAGGTTCTTAGGGAATATGGATAAAAAGGGTGTGGTGCCTAATATTGTTGCATATAATACTCTAATAGATGCATATAGCAGGAAAGAAAAAGTAAAGCAAGCTCATGTGTTAAAATCTAAAATGATAGAGAAGGAGATAATGCCAGATGTATTTACATACACATCACTGATACATGGGGAATGTATAGTTGGCAAGGTAGATGAGGCTCTGAAGCTTTTCAATGAAATGTTGGTAAAGGGCATAAGAGGAAGCGTGAAGACATATACAGCAATTATTTGTGGTTTATCCAAGGAGGGGAGAGCAGATGAAGCTTTTAAGTTGTATGACGAGATGTTGAGAATGGGTCTAACACCTGATGATAGAGTTTTTGCTGCACTTGTTGGCAGCCTTCATAAACCCGGTTCTCATGTTGCTGTCAAACAAAATGAGTATGGTGAACCAAAAATAGACACGCCTGACACCTCCAGCTGGCCAAACAATGGTTTGTCAATTTCACAAGGGAAGGTGGCTCATACATGATGATTTTGTCCTTGAAGCCCAACCAATAATTAGAGCTTGGAAACTGTTACAATGTACAAATATTCTAGTGTTGGGTAACATATACAAACCTCGGAAGGAAAGGTGGCTCATACATGATGACACATCAGGTACTGTTGCAACCTATGAAACAATCCATCAGGATATATACAATGTGACAGAAGAGAAACGTGCAAGCCTAATTCTCCTTCCATTCCACAAAGAACTAAACTCAGAAGGTGTGTTGGAAACAGCCAACAATGCATTCGGTGACATAAACAAGAATGTGTTGCAGGAACCACCTTGTTCTGTGGGGATCCTTGTGAACCGTGGATTCAGGCCATTGTCTAAAACAACCATGAACATCATTATGGTTTTCATCAGAGGGCCTGATGATCGCAAAGCCTTGTCAATTGCATGGAGAATTGATAGAATCACTGTCAAAAAAGGGGTTTGCCGGTCACGAAAATCCTGGTCAAATGGAAACATTTGTTGCCTGAAGATGCCACTTGGGAATTTTTTTATGATTTTAAACAATGCTATCCCTCGTTCAAACCTTGAGGACAAGGTTTATCTCATGGAGGGAGCATTGTTATACCTCTGTTAGTTAGTTGTTTCTTTTGTTGTACCTAGCTGCCAATTCCTATAAATAGGAATTGCAAGTTATAGCACAAACACAAAAACAATTGTAATCTTTTCCTCATATTTGAACACCGTCGGGTTCCAACTTTCTCTCTTCCAGTGTTACTCTCTTCCTCTTCTTCTGTGTTTTCTTCCTTTCTCCTCCTTTGCAATCACTGCTCACTGTTTCAATCCTATCAAATAACAAACAACTGTTCAAAAATTAAAAGAATAAAGACTTTACAAAAGCATATCTCTAACATAGTTAATCACTATAAACCTTGCTGCAGCAAGGTCACACCTTATATTTGTCATATGAAATCTTCTTATTTTCTGTATTTTTATTTTGTAGTCAAATGCAATTGTGTTTTAATCATTTATTTACTTTTCTCCAGGGAAATGATTGCTTATATTGCTAATACCTTAATATTCATTTTGAGGTACGGGCTTGGTCGGAATCTTAAATCATAGACTATTGATATAACTTGTGAAACAAGCTTTTAATTGTTTTGTATTGAAAACCGAAAATGTTTCCGTGGTTTAATAAATGTAGGACATTCTCACTAGTATATCAATTCCATTAATATTTTCACATCATTTTTTTTGTAGTGGAGTTGTTATAGCTGAAGGAATACTTGGTGACAACACTGTTTTCTATTATGGTAGTATTACTTGAAGAATCACTTCGTATATTCTTGTTTTTTTCTTCTTTTCACTATGCTATGGATTATATTGTTAGTTTTATGTTCTATTGGGCAAATGTGTACCATGAAGTATAATGAGTGCAAATACATGAAAAAAATGTTAATAAATGGGAGTTTTACTGCAATCTTGTCTGAATGTGCTGATGAATCTTAATTATGCTGGATAAAGCTGTATTTCCAAGTTAGCGGGGGGATTTGACAAGTCCATAGAGCCTAGAATTTCTTTAAATATTTAAATCACATATGTATGTACTATGTCTTGCATTGCTCTTTCTATCTTCTTAATGTTGCTGTGCATGGAGCTCTTGTTCATACTCATCTTTGTTATGTCAAAACGAGTGACTACAAGTTATTGGGTCTGTTTTAGGAGCATCATGGACCCACCTATTGCTTCTCTATGCATATGTTCAAGTGTCTCGATGCATTGTAGTTGGAGCATTATTTCCCTTTCTAAGATATTTTGGATATGGTTTGGATTGGAAAGGAGCTATTATTCTCATCTGGTCAGGATTGCGAGGGGCAGTTGCCTTGGCACTTTCATTATCAGTTAAGGCATGTATTCATTGACTAAGGATGCATATTTACAGAGCTCCCTATTATAAGTACTTATCATTGTTTACTAGTGGGGATAGGTAATTTTGGATACTTTCTGATGAAAGGAAGAACTTTTATTTTAAGGGAACTTGAAAAGAGAGAAGGATATTCCTATTCCACATAACTGTTATTATATGTCAATAAGTTAACTCCTTTAACAAAACAAAATGCACATGGTGACAGACAATTAAACCTAAAACCAAAATCTCACATTTATGTTTCCTATAGGGATATAACTTCAATTAAACCTTTTGTATTTTCATTCCTTTTCTTTTCCTATCTTTACTTGCGTATTGATGCAAGTTCAAACGCATATGATCGTATCTTGGAATTAATGTCTTAAAAAAATGCGTTTCAACATGACATTTTGTATTTAATGGTTCATCATAATTAAATACTGACCAAAGGATACGACATATATTGCTTTATCTATCTATTCTCCAGAACTTCCACAGCAATCGTGTTCCTTAATAACGTATGCATCAAGGAAAAAAGTGTGCTCATACGAGGCTATCATTACATTCATGTCCATATTTTTGTAGTTAAATTGTTTAATTATTAAATTTTTGGTTGGTTTAGCGTTCAAGTGGCAAATCAATTGAATTGACTCCAGAGACAGGAACACTGGTATGTTTTTCAATTTATGATTTAATGTAACACTTGTAAGTTTCAAATGCATGACTCTTCTAAGATTTTGCAAGGTCATTGAAACCTAGAAATCCTTGATATCTTAATTGTCTTTATGAACTGACTCCATTGTTTTTTGATTGTGCAGTTTGTTTTCTTCACTGGTGGAACTGTGTTTTTAACACTTATAGTGAATGGTTCAACCACACAACTCATTTTACACTACCTTGGCATGGATAAATTATCAGAGGCAAAATGTTTTCCACATTCTATGTTCAACTTATGTTCTTGTTTTCAGAGGCAAAATGTTTTAATATCTCATACTTTATGTATTTCACTAATGTCTTCAGGTTTTCCTTTCCTCGCACATCCCGCACTGTTCATAGTGTTCCTTTTAGTTTATTAGATGATTTAGAGGCATTAGACAATTATAATTGGGGAAATGTTGTTCATGGTTTATTAGTTAATAGTTTGCATCGTGCTAGTACAAAGTTAAACGAGCAAAAGAATGCTTCTCAATTGTACGTTGCTGGTTGTTTGGCTGTCTTACAGGTAACTTTCTTACAAATGATTGATTTATTAGTTGGTATGAAATTATTGTGACTGATGACATTGTATTATGTCGCTGTTGGAAACAAAGTCATCGAGGACCACAGGAGAACTTAAGGTTACAAAGGAGGACTTGCCAATTCAACCAAACATGTTAGCATGTTATTATAGTTGAAATTTTGTTTGCAAAATGTTGTATGTAATGTGTGTAATAACTACATTCAATTGTGCAGGTATGATTGTGGATTGTTTGTTTTAAAATATATGGAGTTGTGGGATGGTGTGAGCAAAGTGAATGGGAAAAACATGCCTCATTACACATCGGTAAACATTAAAGTCATTGTATTATTGTTTTGTTTTTTATTACTATGAATATAATTTATTATGACATTCTTCATATTGTACAGGAGCAAGTTCAGAAATTTCGAGAAGAATATGTATGCAGATGGGTACTTCATCCTCAAAATCTTCATCAACAAGTCATGGTTATTGAATCAGGAGTTAACATCCTCATCTAGGAATAGAAATGTAGATATTGTATTTGATTATTTGTTCATTTTCATTGATGAATGTTGTACAGTTTATTCATATGTAATATAACTGTTAAGTTGGTTATGGATCATTTAAATGTTAAATATTATGACATTAACAAGTGGCTGATTTTTGGACCATGGTTACTATATTTTGTATCATTTTTTTTTATTTTGACAATTACATTATTGATTGGGTTTTACCGTCCGAGTTGCACAATATCCCTATTCAGATGATGCAGACTATCTCCATGTAACAGAGAGTGTATATTGAGAACCACAGTGGTACAAAATACATTTAATTACTACCAGATTTATATTTTACGAACATATGAAGATGAAGATATCAGATAACTTCATGCTTAATAGTTGTAAAGAATGCGCTTAACAAAAAACAGATTGAAATTTGCATGTCACGTCTCATTCAAGTTCAGCCTTGGCCACAGACGAAATGTCCTATGCAGTTAGCCACATACTGTAACATGGATAACCACATATTTGAATCACTTGCCGGTTGACCGAGAATAACGTCGCTTGAGCGAGAAACAACCCGAAAGTCCCTATTTTTTGCAAGGGTACTTCGCTCAAGCGATTCTTTTATCGCTGGAGCGAGTAATGGCCGTAGACGAAACGTCCAACGCTTGAGCGAGTGTAGACAATGACGAAAACGCAGTTAGCCAAATAATATAACTTGGTTCACCACATATTAGAATCACTTTTCGCTCAAGCGCTCATAACGTCGCTTGAGCGAGACGAAACCCGAGGGTCCCCATTGGTTAAGGTTCCATCGCTCAAGCGATGTCATACTCGCTTGAGCGACTAGTGAACCTCAACCACAGACCTAAGATAGCGGTTAACAAGAACCGCTTTTACAAATATATATTAGATAGCGGTTAGCAATAAACCGCTGTCTAATGTATGTGTTATAATAGCGGTTTTTTTATAACCGCTCCCTTATATCATACTTGAAAAGAGCGGATGACCCTTCAATGGTATAATAAATGTAGTTTAGATAGCGGTTGTCCAAATAACCGCTATCTTAAGATATATATGTCAAAGTGATCGACTATAATTTCATAATAATCGATCATAATTTTCGATAACCGATTACAATTGATAATGATCGATTATAGTTGGAGAACATCGATCATAGTTTGTGCTAAGCGATTATAGTTTTACATAATTTCGCTCTGCATCTCTCTCGCCGGCGCACGCAAAAGAAACGCTCTGCATCATCAACATAGGTTAAAAATAATTGAAAAACTCTCTTGGTCCAGAGCCCAGTAGCTGGGGCTCAAGGTCAGGCCCAATATAATCCCCAAGCTTGCGCACACCAAGTATTTGATTACTTTCCTTCGTTGTTTCTGAGAGGAACTAACTAACTTGTCACCGCGATGAGGATCTACGAAGAGTTGAGAGAGATAGTGAAGATTCAGAAGTTCCGAAGATTTGTGTCGTATACTGGGTTCTACTGCTTCGCGACGCTCATAAGCTACGCTTACGTCAGCAATACGACAAGGGCTGGTTACTCTAGAGCCGATCAATTCTATGCGTCGTACCCCGCTGGTACCGAGCTTTTAACGGACACTACCAAGGTATTTTCTTTCGCATAATGTAATCAATCTGAAAATTAGAGCATGTTGTTTTTACCAAAAGTGTGATTTTGGTGTTCGAAATTTGTTTCAGTTGTACAAAGCTGCACTTGGAAACTGCTTCGAAGTTGAAGAGTGGGGTCCGTTTGAGTACTGCATCATGGCGAAACACTTCGAGCGTCAAGGGAAGTCGCCATATGCTTATCATGCGGTATGATGATCACATGCATGCATATGATGCCGAAGGGCGTATTATGAATTGCTTTAACTTTTGCATGAATGCTACTGCAAAGAAGAAGATTCTTATTGAATTGGGGATTTGCGTTTTCAGCGACACTTTGGGGGATACTATTGGATAGGATTATTCTTCTCCCTTTGGGTGGTGGACAGGGGATTGATTTGTGAATTGTGAGTGACATATTGTGGTCTTCTCTGGAATGACAGAGAGGTCTGCGAGAGGAATGTGTTTGAAAAATTGCATAAAACTGGTTTCTGAAATGATAATTTCTGTAGAATATTAGATTTTTTTTTGCTGTGTTTGATTTATTTCCCGACTTTTCTTTTAGTGTCTAAGGAAGATCCTGAATTAAAAAAAAAAAGTCGCTGATGACAGTTTTGACAGCCACATAGAGGTTTTTGGAGTTTTTTTACCACAATTGCCAATGCTTTTGTTTGCATTTGCAATTTCCCACAATATCAAGAATTGCAATTTGATTGCAACTAAGACCATGGTTAAGGACAAATCTAGATTCCAGATATGGAGGATGATAAACATGATTTCCTTGTATTTCTCACAGCACCTGAGACTAGTTTAAAACTGAAGTAGAACGCCCCGGATTATGACTTTTTCAGTCAAAGTAGACAGACCTTCATTTGGTCGGAGGAGTTTCTATGTTCATTTGTATAACCAAGCAATAGCAGATATGGCAGAACTGTATTTTTCATTTTAATTGCTGTTGCTGAAAGCTATGACCAATTACTTTATCAAAACCCAATAGAATACTCTTATTTTATTTTTTGGATAAAATCTTATAGCATAATTTCAACCATGCTTCTATGTTTGTTGAATTTTGTTACCGTCATCCATTTTTTTTATCTCTACAGTTTTTATAGAACTAACAAAAAGTTATGACGTCTGTGGCTTCTTACAGCAATACATGGCACACCTCCTTTCTCTTGGACAACTTGATGGAAGTGGCTGATGGGAGTTATTAACATACAAACTATGGTGAAGTATGACGGAGTAGAAACTTTTACAATATATGAAGACTTGTAAAGTCGAAAGAGAAAACCTGATATTCAAATACTCGGCTTTCTTCCTGCTCTTCGATATTCATATCCCAGTCAGTCTCAAGTGTTTCGGATTATGTTGTTTACATTACAAATTGTCTAATTCTATCCTACTTTAAGATGATTTTAAGAAATCCTGACATTGAGCACAATTTTGCAAAGAAATAGTCCGCTTGTTTCTCAAGAAGAGATGGGAAACATGCTCAATATCATTTGATTGAATAATTGACCCAGTCCCTTGTTGTTTAAAGAAACCCTCCACTTCCTTTGGTATTTTTTCACGAAAAGCAAAATGGTTTCATTATGTTTGAAGGTCATGAAATTTGTAGTAACTTTGATTTTGCTCCCCAAATTTAAAAAACCTGTTTCTCAAAACTGAAAATGTATGATTTTAGTCCATAGACACTAAAACTAGTTTTAATATGTAAAGTTTAAACCTTAACCCTAAATCTTAAATTTAAAAAAATTCATTTTTAATCTCTCAAACTTAGTATTTAGACTTTTTTTCATAAATAATACTATTTTTAAAAATATTTCCCAAAATAGCACATCCGGAACATTATTTACACAACTAGCATTTTTTACTCGTTCACGTATTAAAATAATCAATTATTTTATATTATGATCGATTATTTCGCACAATCAACTCTCGCTCAAGCGAAGAAAAGCCTTCGCTTGAGCGAGTAAATCTGTAACAAAGGGGTAATCTCCGGTCAATTATCGCTCAAGCGATGGGTATTTTCGCTTGAGCGAGAAGTGATTAAAATATGTGGTGACATAAGTTGCATTATGTGGCTAACTGCATTGGACGTTTAGCCAGGGTCAATTTTCGCTCAAGCGATGATTTACTTCGCACGAGCGAGAATTGATTGGGTAACTGCGTTGGACCGTGGTCAATTCTCGCTCACGCGAGACATCCATCGCTTGAGCGAAAAAATTTATAATCGATTATGATTTGAACTAATCGATCATAATTTCTCTCTCGCTCAAACGAAGAAACTCACTACAACAGAAAACACATGTAATAGCGGTTCCATGTTAATTACTATCTAAAATATACTTTTAGATAGCGGTTAACGTGGAACCGCTATTATATATGTGTTACTTTTAATAGTTCTAGAACCACTATCTAAAATCTCGGGTCAAGTCTCGCGCAAGCGACGGGTACTTTCGCTTGAGCGAGAAGTGATTGAAATATGTGGTGACCCAAGTTGCATTATGTGGCTAACTACGTTGGACGTTTAGCCCATGGTCAATTCTCGCTCAAGCTATTTACAATGCTGAGTCACCCACCCAAGTCAGGATTCCCATGTCTTTCTGATGCACACAAGTAAAGAATTCAATGCTGAGTTACCCACCTAAGTTAGGATTCCAATCTCGGATTCCCTGCATTGGGTTAGACAAAAGCAGAAGAATCCAAACATATTTAAAGAGATGTTGACCCACCCACTTTGCTTGGGTTTTGTGTGCGTCAGAAACCATGTGAGAGAGCATTGGATTCAAACCAATGGACTTCATTATAAATAGACCACTTTCATTCTTTGAAGTTCTCACATTGCACACTCCTAAATCTCTGAAGCTATTTGCATTATTTCTTCTTCATACCCCAACACACACTCACCAGAAATTTCACCCTTACCCTACCAAGTTTTCCCAAACACTGACCCAGAAATACCCACACATAATGACTACATCCCTTTTACCGAACTTCTAAGTGGGTCTTCCACGAACATCAACGAAGATCTACCCACACAAGAGAACAAAATTGTTGGCCTCCCAATTGAAGTCGTTGATCCTTTTAGTGAGGATGAAGACGAAGATGAAATTCTCAGCCAACACCAAGATGATTCAGAGGACGAACAACCACATATCCCTACACATGCACCAAACTTCATGGAACCATACAACCCACCACAACATTTTCTTAACTTTGAAAATCACATTCAACAAGAACTGAGATGGACATTACAGAAAATCAAAAGTAGTATTAAAAAATGTTCATATTGTCATATCCCTGGTCATAGCAGAAGAACATGTCCCAATGTTGCACATGCATCTACTTCGCATCATTAGATTGTGTTAGTTAAGAAATGTCTCAATGTATGAAACTTAGGAGTTTCTCAATTAATTGAAAGCGATGAAGATCTTATTGAATCATTTGATAAAACAAAGAAATTTGAGCGAGAATTGACCACGGTCCAATTATATATGTGTCACTTTTAAGAGCGGTTAATATTTTAACCGCTCTTAAAAGTGAACATATAATAGCGGTTCCACGTTAATAGCGGTTAGTTCTAGAACCGCTATCTAAAATCTCGGGTCAATTCTCGCTCAAGCGATGGGTACTTTCGCTTGAACGAGAAGTGATTGAAATATGTGGTGACCCAAGTTGCATTAAGTGGCTAAACGTCCAACGCAGTTAGCCACATAACGCAACTTGGGTCACCACATATTTTAATCACTTCTCGCTCAAGCGAAAGTACCCTTCGCTTGAGCGATAATTGACCCGCGATTTCCCCTTTGTTACAGGTATCCTCGCTTAAGCGAAGGGTTTCTTCGCTTGAGCGAAAAGTGACCCTAGATTACCCCTTTGTTACAGATTTCCTCGTTCAAGCGAAGGTTTTCTTCGCTTGAGCGAGAGTTGATTGCGCGAAATAATCGATCATAATATAAAATAATCGATTATTTTAATACGTGAACAGTAAAAAGTGCTAGTTGTGTAAATAATGTTCAAATGTGCTATTTTGGGAAATATTTTTAAAAATAGTATTATTTATGAAAAAAAGTCTTATATTTATTCTATTATTTATCTATATATTATAATAAAATTGATATATTATATTTATTTTAAATCTTAATAAAATCAAATTCATAATTAAATTAAATGACCCTGTTCCTATTAATAAAAAATAGTATTTAAGATGGCAATTTGGCAAACCAATGCTCCACGTATTAACGCGGATGAACAAAACGAACGTTTTAAGTTATCGTGGCTTAGTTCGTATAAAACCCTAATTTCACGGTCCTATTTTTTAGAGTGTGGAGAGATAAATATGATGAGAGCAATGGAACTATTCGGAGAAATGGACGAGCAGGTATCGTCGATGGCGATGGACGTAGACGATGTAGACTCTCTCGAGATCTTTGCTGAGGGCGTCATAGCAGCTGACCACAAACTCGCAGACGCCGATTTCTTCAACAACTTCCAAGACGATTTCGATGATGCTGATATCAACTGATCATTATTTGGGGTTGAATAATTTCCGGGTTAGGTTTCGTTTTCCTGTATTCTTCTATTTTGATGGCGAAAGTAATAGAAAAAGAAAAAACAGTTTGTACTTAGTTTCTGGATTTTCGTGTTAATACGAATTGATATTTCGCGATGAACCATCCGTATTGCAATTTCTTTTATGGGTTGTTTGAATTTTTGTGATATAATGTTTTTATTTATTATTCCGGTGCTTGTGGGTTTTGTGTTTGATTATTAGCTGTACCTCGGCTCTTTTTTGTTTGGTTCGTTGTGTCTAAGGGGATAGCGTTAGTTATTCGAGGTCAATTTTGTTCTAAGTGTTGTTCTGTTTGAATGTTTTTGCATGATAAAGTTTAGTCTTACCTCGGAAGAGGTTGTTTCTAGATTGTGGGTATTATTTTGCTACATTGTGGATTGCAGTGGTAGCGATGTGAACTTAGTACATAGCATAAAAATATTGGTACATCGTTTTACAAATATATGAATGCATTATGTAGCTTCCTAACGCATTCCTGCGTTCTTTCAACATCTGACAGGTCGTACTCATTCAACCATTAACATTTTGATATTAGAAAAAGAGGATTGAAATTTGAATAAGTTTTCTTGCCAAAAGTGATGTTTTTTGCTTTGTTACAACTACGTTGCGAATGCATTGTGGTTTTGTATTTAAATTCCTATTGTAATTGTGGATAGTTGCTATTGTGAGCAGTTCCACGATAACAAATTGTGATGCAATTGTTGTTCTGAACTGATAATTTGAGGTTATTATCAAACGATGAATGTTTCAGCTGAGGCATTGTCATAGACGTGGGGATGGGAAAGATGCTTCTAGCCATTTGTTTCGAGGCATTCGTTTAGTAAGACAAAGTTTTCTGTTGTTGTATGTTAAAGTGAAAGTTATTTGTAAGAAAATTAATTAATAATGTTTTGAAATTTTATATTATTGCCAGTTGACAGCTTCCCCCTCTTATAAATTAGTTTCTAAAGCAATTAGAACGCAAATTATACTCTTGACTGGGAAGAACTGATGAGAATACGCACACTGTTTTGGTGACAAATAAAATAAAAACGTCGCATCCTGATTCTTCTTCATCTTGATTTTCTTGTGTCTGCATCATTCTGTAATTAATTCAACGTTGTGTGATGATCTAAACTCTATCTATATTAGGTTTTGTCATGTCAAGAAATTATTTGTTGAAGTTAGTCTCTCACGGGTTAATTTCTTTCTACATGTTACAAGTCACTGTTATTATGTGTTTAATTGAGTTAGACCGGTACAAGTTTTCCTGTCTAAGAATGAATCAATGATTTATTGGAATTATATTTCACCAAACATAATTTTATTCCATTTGAATAATGGGTTTTGTATGACGAAGCTAAACTACCCCTGAGAAAAGGTTCTTTGGTTTTCTTTAAAGGCGGTAAATAAAAAAATATATACCAGGGAGTATTCGAAGTATTCTTTATTGGGTTGTATTAATTAATTTTATCTCTAAGTGCTGGATTTGGAAGATCTAATGAGAATACGAGCATTCTTTCTATATCCCAAGAAGGAACTAAAGCAAGCAGATGGCAGGTGCCTTTTTCAAGAAGGAAATATAATATTAAATATATTAAGTTATTTAATTTAACTTTATAATAATTTATATATTTATCAAAATTATAAAATAATAATTAAAAATTAAATTATATATATTAATCTTTCTATTTATATTTCATTGTTTATATTTAATACAGGAATATTAAATATAAATTGTTCCCGAGAATAATTTATAATATATGATGATATATAAATTAAAAAAAGTGGTAAAATAATTATTTTCATTTTTTATTTATCAAACTTTACAAAATAATAATAGAAAAGTAATTTAACTTTTTATTAATATTTAAATATTTAAATTTAATAAACAAATATTTTAAAAATTATTCATACAAAATTATAACATAAGGATAAATATTTTTTATTAAATAAAATAATTTCTTAACATAATTATTTTAATTATATGTTTTCATTTCTTTTTCTCATATATTATTAGAAAATAAACAATAAAAAGTAACATATTTTTTTAAATATCTTGGTTTGTTTTTAGTTATCAACTTAGTTTTCATCTTAAATTAAGTGTTAAATTAAATAATTTAAATTTATTATTATGATTTTGTTTATAATATTCTAATTTTCTCTATAATAATTTAAATTATAATGTATAAAATAAAAAATATATTATATTAATAAAAATAATATATATAATAAAGATAATTTTTTAAAAATAAAAAATATTCTTGACTGAAAATTAAATAATTTATATAAAAATAACAACTTCAATAAATAACATAAAAAAAATATAAATATATTCATAATTATTCTTATTTTTCGAATCACAAATATTGCATAATCAAACGAAATTATTAATAAAAGAATGATAACTTTTTGAAAGTATAATTATTATGTATATAAATTATTTTTATATATTTTAAGAGAAAGAAATATTTATTACTGAATATTGGGTATTGCATTGAATGATGAGAGTGAATAGGTTGAGTGAATTGATAATAATTTTATTATTTGGTAAGAGTAGGAAAATAAAGATCCAACAATAATAACTAAAATAGTATATATTTCTCTTTTTTTCTTTGTAATCGTTGTCTTATGCATATATTTGTTATTTAAGTTTAAGTATTAATTATCTTTTTAATAATTATATTTTTAATTATAATTATTGTAATTATTTTAATAAGTTATTATAAGTAATTTCACACAGGAAAAAAGATTAAAATGGTAAAGATATTATTAACAAAATTTAATAAAATTATTTTACAAAATACAATTAACATTTTATTAGTAAGTGTAGTGAATGATGTGTTTAGAAATAAAGGAAAAACTATATAATGTGAATTTTATCAAACTCAATATTTTAAGTCAACTATATTATTAGTCAATTTAATTTTTAGGAGGGATTAAATAGAAACTATAAATTTAAAATTATATAAAATAATTAATTTTATAGCTTGTCATTATTAATTGTCTTTCTTTTAAGTGAAGATATTAAGTATTAAAAATAATTATTATTTTTACTTACGTATTACAAATAGTCGTATTAATGAGTTGGTTAACTCTTACAACATAATTAATGTAATTTTTTAGTAGAATTATTACAAATAAAAAATATATTTTTTAATATGAATCCTGGTACAAAATTATAAAAAATATGTAAAAATTGTATTAAAAGAGTTCTTTGAAACAATACCTATTAAATATATTCCAATTGATTTAAACTCATTATACCATAATTAATTTAATCCTCTATTTGACTTTAAATTTTAAAGGAATAAAAAACGTTTTAATTACCGTAAATAACTTCTCTAAACTCAACTTCTGCTGTGTAGAGAAATAAAATATATGTTATAGTTATTTATAGTGTACATTAATTTAATCGTGGATAGACTAGCTAATTTTAGTTTAAGAAATCGACTTTTCATAATGAATGGTGTGTATTTTTCATAATCCTGCAAATATGTCAAAAATTATATTAAAATGATATCTATGAATTTAGTTTGTCAGATTTAGTAAATTATCCTTTTTAATGACAATTCAAATTCGAGATCTTAATTAAAAAAGAAATGCAATAAACATATTTTAACTTTGAAAGATATTCAAATTTATCTATTTTGCTATGAGCTGATACAAAACGAAGAAATCATAATTAAAGTGTATCATTGGTGGGATCAATGGGGAACATTCTATAGTTTTCTTTTGTTCTTTCAAAATAATGTTAAAATCACTCAAAAGGAAGTGGTAGACACATCAGAAAGAGAAATATTGAGCACTCCAAAAGGCACTCAAAAGTGTGCAAAAAAATCTATGTGAGACTTAAAAATAACAATCTATTGTTAATAACAGACGTCTACCTAAGACATATATGTCATCTTTTTCTTTGATATTTCATTCATTTTGTTTGTATCTTGGTCTTTCAACAAACTACGATAAGCTTATACTTATCCACTTCAAACTATTTTTCATAAATTCTGTAGAATCTTACCATCTGTGTTACAATCTCTACCGATTTCTAATCTATACTTTCTTCTCCGATCTTGAATAATGTCCAGATTTTGACTACTTGATGATACGGCCAGGAGATAATAATCTATGCGAAGCTTGCTCTACTGAATCATCATCCTGATGTATTTTCTGTTTTATTTTGAGGAATAAAACATATATTCTGTCATTTTCTCGGTTAATTATTCTTCTACTTTTCCATTCTTTAACAATATTAGTGTTAAAGAAAAGTCTATCAATTACACCCCAACATATAAAAGTTTAATAAAACTTCAGAAAATAGTTATTAATTCATATTTCAGTGCCAAAAGCCTTTGGATGATGTTACCGTTTGTTTTTTCTGAAGAAAGGAGGTTGGTATATGGCAGCTCAAGCTGATTATCTACCATCATCCTCGTTCAAAATTTACAACATCGATTGGTGGAAAAGAACTTTGGCACCGGAATATACAGATTTTGCATCATCTGCACAACACGAGGCAGAAAAACACAGGGTCATCATTGAAAAGATGGCATAATCATGGTTGGCATAATCATGGTTGTAGAAGCACCCGACAATCAATAAACAAAACCATACAAAATCTTAACCCATAATTGAAGAGGAAAAACTATTGAATAAGTAGTGTACAACATAAGACCATAGGATTTGCTGTGCATTTACATCTTAATCCATAATTCAAATAAATTCTTATTAGGGTTCAGATCAATTTGCATTTCTCAGACACTAATTCAAGTCAACATGTAGGCTGCCAATCTCCCAACAGAAATGCAATTGAAAGTAACAAAAATGAATTATTTGCTATCAGGGATGCTAATCGATTCACTACTTAACTTTCAAACATGCAACAAAAATAACAACTAGATATGCATATGACCATGGCTATACCTAAAACACAAAGCTAAAACTTTTACCTGCGATAGCTGATAAATTGAAAGAATTAGGGACATTAGCCTCAGCCTCAACTGCAGCTTTAGCCACTGCAATGCCAACTGACACACTTTGCATAATATCTAATCCTGCACAAATTGATGTGAGTGTTCCACCGACTAAGCAATCACCCGCACCAGTAAGCCTCACAACTGAAGCAGGAAGAGATGGAAAATGCACAGCACAAAGAGGAGAGCTTTTATCAAGTTTTGAAAAGCCAGAATAAGGACTAGGTGGGCAATTTTGCATGAAACTCTTGTATAATTGTCCACCAAAACCACTCCGATTTATTTTCTCTGTAGGCTTTTTTAAGTAGCTAGGCCCTTCTTTATTGCATAAAAACACTCCATTAGAGCCAATGGTCACTAAGACCACTTCAATGCCTTTTTCTAACAAAACCCATATTGCTGGTTTCAGCATTTGAAACAAAGACACTACTGAAATATTTTTCTTCTGACTTTCTGAAAGTGGTTGAAACACAGCACTACCAGATAAATCATTTGCCATTGCAATAAGTTCATCTTCATTTGGAGAAGCAAATGTCACCTAAACAAGGTATGCACACATGTCAAAAAATAATTTATACAAAAAAACACATGCTATCCTATGATTTTGGCAGAGTTAAATCATATACACATTGATCAAATTAATATATCTAAAAAACTAGTCATTCTAACAAAAATTTTAAATTTATGCATATAATATTGTTATTAAGATGATGAATATCAAGAATTCAAGACAAAGTAAGGAAAGTTGATGACACAATGATACCAAACAAACTGTTTACAACTATTTATTGCAATCAAGGATATTATAAGATATAGTGAATGGCATGTATTCATATAAATAATGGAAACTGTTCTACATTGTATTTATGACTAATATAAACAAGAGCCTATGATGTGTAAATTAGTGCAATTCATCCTGTCTTTCATTCTTCTGTCTCTTTCTCAACAACTATTTCAGACTCTTGCAATCCCCGATTACTCACAGACACCTCTGATCAACCCATGAAATAACTCTAAGAAAGAATATCAAGTTTGTGCAGAGCATAGCACTCACATACTCGACAATAAAACTGATTCTTCGGGATTTAGTAACTGATACTGGCTCAAACCACACAGGACACTCCATGTCGGCCGCCACTGAGGAATGTAGATATTTATGCAATGAAAACAACAACTTCTGTAGTGAGTTTGCAACCCAGCAAAGAAATGGAAAAAGAGAATTAAATTAGCATGCAATGTACTTTTACAAGAAGCTTCAAGAGCAGAATGGCTCAGATTTGCATCGATCATTAAAACTGGAGCAGAAAGTAAAGTGCTTTTGAAGTGTAAGATCCAGTCAGGGGTAAGATATTTTTCCTGCAACAAAATGATACTATTATATTTTCTTTTCCCTTGCTTCAGTCTTTTATATAACTGTCAGTACAAAATTCATCTTTTAGCTTGCTTAAGTTAGTATATCACTGGCCATGCTTGAATGGTCAACTTACAAGAGCCTCCACACTAGCAACACCAGCTGCTACCTCACCTTTAACATCAAATATATTGCATACAACTGGTGTTTCAATATCTTTATCCTTCAATATACCTACCTCAAATTCAATAATATACAATAAAAATCATTATTTTACATAGTTATGGTAGATCTAATGAAAAAACCACGAAGAAAAAATAACTTACCTTCTGCAGATAGGCCAGCAGATTTCCACTGATTCAACAACAGGTTTCCTAGATGAAAATAAAAATAAAGAGAATAAAGGAAGAATACTGTAAGTTTCTTCTCTACATTTATTCTCCAAATGTCACTTTCATCAAAGGATCTCCTGGTACATACACAAGTCATTAATGGCAGAATATTCTTAACAGATTAGCATGACATGCATATCAGTTTACCTCCTTAGAGGAATGTATTATTCAAAACATTATAGATTGGGATACTTTATAATTTGTTAATGGTAGGAATAAGTACTAATATATATATATATATATATATATATATATATATATATATATATATATATATATAATGGTTACCCATTAATCATTGTATTGTCCCTGCTGATGGATATGTGATACAAAAATTAAAGTTATTAGATGTTTTAGTAACACAATGATCAATTTTTATGTATTTAACTGGTTAATATAGTGTAGAAAGTCTAACACTGTACTCAAGGATCCAAGTAATTAAAGGTAGTCTAAAAATAAGTGTTACGCATTGGACATCATAAATTAAACAACCAAGGGATCCAGTCAAATATAGAAAACTACTGGACTTGATTAGTAGGAGTTGAAATGTACTATTGAACAGATTAATTAAGTATTACAGGTAAAAGCAAACCGTATCTATTTTATAGAAGGGCATCGTTTATTTGTAAGATGGATTTCATGATCTTTAGTAGATTTCCACCCAAGAACCCTTTCTAATCCTATACAATTTCCTCTCATTTCTAGGATTGCACAGATTCTTCAAAATTTATTTTATATCATTTTTTTGTTAAAAAACAATACTACTTTTGTACTTTAGTTTAAGTATGACAAAAACACATCTCCAAATTTTTATAAATAAATCAGAAAAATGTCTCCACTATGAAAAACCAACAAATTTAATAAAAACCAGTTGAAGTTTTCATAAGGGGTGCCTCTTGACCACAATAAATGCTCAAATATATTAAAAGAAAAGAAAAAAGAAGACAGCATTGCAAGAAAATGCTTTGTGATGTAAGAATTTACCTGCCATGTCAAACCCAATAGCACTAATCATGAATGGCTTTGATCCTAGTTTTGACATGCACTCTGCTACATTCCTAGCCACACCTCCTTGGACATAATAGACCTGAATATTTTCCGGTATAAGAAGATAAGTACAAATATAATAGAAAAACAACACTTAAGAAATTTCAATCAGGGAAATACTTGATTGTCACAACAGTAAAAGAATTCTTATTCTTGTCACACCATTAACAAGATTGTGTTAACCAATTGGTCTAAGTAGCAAGAATTTCGGCCTTGTTGTTTACTGTTTAAAACAGTTTTCAATATTTTAGTTTTTTAAAAATTAAAAAACTTGTTTAGTAACTGTTTTATTGAAACAAATTTTGTTTTTTAACTTCTAAAAACTAAACAACCAAAAATGATAAACTTTAGTTTAAAAATTGTCACTACATCACTTATTTTCGGTATCATAAAATTGTTAAAGTCATTCTCTAGCTTTTTTCATGACTCTTTGTCGCAATATGTCATCCTCTTCAATCTAAAACAGTTTAAAAATTAGAGTTATCAAACAATTTTGTTTTTCCAACTAATTCTCAAAAGCAGTTCTTCAAAATTGATTTCTAAAACTATTTTTAGAAACCAAAAAGAAAAATTAAATCAAACAAGCCTATAGTTTCTCTTATCTGGAGTTTTCGGTTCAGTCTTTTATTTTCCACCTCACTTGACTTGGATTAGTCAGATCTCAAAGTAACTTTCAATTTTTCGACATAGCAAAACAGATAGTGCGACATCTACCTCTCATTTTAATTTTCAATCATCTTCACTTAATGTAATCAGCTTGAGACTTGATATTGACTATTTACAAATGAATGGCTTGTATAGAGTTCTCTTAAGCACTTCTGTTAAGGTATTTCAACTTTATATTTATAGATGCATCATAGTAACTAAGCAAATATAAACCACAGTCCCAGAAAAGTAAGAAAAAATCACATAATAATACACATACAATTTATATATATATATATATATATATATATATATATATATATATATATATATATATGTATATATATGAATTAACTTCTTAAAGAACCACTTATAAGTAAAGAAAAGAAAAAGGAAAAAATGAACTTTTGAATAAGCTAATAAAAAAGAGCTTCTATAAATTAGTTACTACATTAGGTAGAATTAACTTATTCAGAAACTTATTCTATTTTTCTTTTCCTATAAGTGTTTGGCAAACTATACAAACAGAACCCTAGAAGGTTTCTTTTCTTCTTTCCTTCTCAGATAAAATATAGATAGATAACAACCTTGCCAGGGACAGTGGTTCCAGATTTTGCTCCCAATGAAGGTGTAGCATGAATGTCCAACACCATACCCCCAATTATTACGACTTCTCCATCCCCATACTCCAATTTTTTACCTCTTAGCGCAACCTTGTCACCACCACCAACAACAACAAACAAATATCAAATAAATTTACACAGAATTCAATGATAGAGAAAAAAGCAGAGATAAATAAAACAAAAATGACATGAAAAAGAAAGGTGGGGTACACAAATATTAGCACAAAAAGAGCTTGCCGTATGCATATCAATTTTATTAGTTTAATTTCATGAACCAACATTTTTCCCGTAATGCTACCCTAGATTCCTGTTACTGTATTTTTATTTTATTTTTCTTCATTGCCACACTGGCAAAGAACCAATCCTGTAGCAGGTAACTATTCGACACTGTACTAATCCATATGAATGACATTATAGGAATCTAATTGCATGGCTATCATAATCGAGTCTATATGCAGATTATTCTAGGCCAGGCATTAAAGCAATTTCACAAGTTTTTTTATCATATGAAATAATGTAACTGCTGTTACCAGAATGAAACCAATAAATAAATCCTACCCACATGCATAAAATTCCCAATCACTATTTTGTATCAGGTTTAAATACAAATTCCCCATCTGACACCCACGCTTACCCAATTTAAAGTTTCCATTTCGAAAAAATTGCTCAATAATCTAAAATCACCCGGCCGGCCACCAATATACTAACCAGTAGCATATTATAAAATTCTCTCACAGATGTGCCGCAAATACGGCACACAAATTCCCTCTTCTCATCCACGGTAACAGCTTTTATCTCTTACCTGGATTGCACTCACCAAACTTCTCGTCCACAGTTTATTTTTTGGGTGAATACCCAATTTGGTCCTCAAAGGTGTGAAATGTCTCTCACTTTAGTTTCTAAAAAGTAATCGAGTTAAAAAAAGGTTCACAGAAAGTACAATTTGTCACTAGAATTAATAAGTAGAGTTAAGTTTTGGAACTAAGTCACAGCAAAAAGACTTATTTTGAATCTTCTTACTTTCACGACTGAAGTGATAGGTCTCAATTAAAACACTAAAATAACATCGTCTCCCACACATTTTAGAATTCATCCTTGTTATTTTATCCATTCAAGCGATACCCTCAAACAAAACTGCAATCCCTCAACTACAAAACCCTTCTTCCCCCTCACAATTTCACAAACTACTCCTTTCACTCAACACTACAGCAAAAGCTAGCAATTCTAAAACCACCGAAAACGCTGTCAACAGAACAACAAAAATGATAGCAGTAATTACAAGCATTGCGGCAGCGGTTTCCCTGGTGCTGCCGTCGATTCGGAGCATGGTGCTGGCATCGGAATAAAACTGGTGCACAAACTCCCGCTGGCTCTGAAGCACCTGATAGTACTGTCCCACAAAGTACGTTCCAACCTGAACAAAACACAAAACACGTGATTCGACATGAAGTGAATTAGAAGAAGAAGAAGAAGAGAAAGAAGAAGAAGGAGAATAAGAAGAACCTGGGCTGCGGTAACAGGAATGGGAAAGGGCGTCGCCATTGAAGAGAAAGGAAAAAACCCTTCAAAACCCTAACACCAATTCAGATCCGCAATCTCCCTCCCTCTTCACTGTCTTCCTTTCTTTCAGATCCACACCCACACACAGTGACAAAAGAAGGTAATTTTTATTTTTTTAATAATAATAATAATAATTAATATGATTTTTTTATTCTGATTCTTCACATGTTGGGTTTCTTTATTTTTCAGATGCATATGAAGATACTTCTCTACTGTTACGTGTGTGCTGTATTTCTTTTCACCGATAAGTTTCTACGCCATTGATTTTCAAATACGCAAATAAATAAATAAATAAAAATAGAGTAGATAAAACTTCTTCTTAATCCTTTAAAAAAACAAATAGAAACAAGCTTTTTCATACACTAAAATTAATTTATATGTTTTTTCCTACATAAATCTATGCATACCTTAAAAATAAGAATTTATTTAAATTATATAATAAAAAATTATAAAATAATTTATATATCAACTTATTTTAATTATCAAATAATTAATTTTTTCTTTTAAATGCTTTCAACATGTTCAAAATCTTCTATGTGTAAAGAGCTTTTCTTACACACTCCATAAAACTTAATGTATGATTAGTTTTAATAAATGAAGAGATACATTTATTAATTGGATTTAATAGATCTATCCTATAATTTTTTATATTATCAAATAATAATAAAAATTATTAAAATAATCTTCACTATCAAATAAAAAATTAATCTACTCTGTTTTGGAGTATTTGGAGTCTTTATTGTTGATGAATGAGTTATTTTTTAAATCAATTTTATATAACAGTATATGTAATAAAATAATATTTTAATTCATTGTTATATATATATATATATATATATATATATATATATATATTATGAATAAAATAAAAATTTATTTAATTATTTAAATGGTTATAATAGATAAATATATTTAACCTAATAAATTTGTATCGAATTAGCTCGGATTATAAATAAGGTATTTTATATTAGTGGACTATTTTGAATTATTTTAAAATAAATAATTAAATTAATTAAAATTTAAAATATAATAATTTAATATATATTTATAATTTTTATCATAAAAATTAAATTCATTGTTATGATTTTATAATTATTATAAAAAATTATAATTTATTTTGTTGATTAACGAATAAAAATATTAAAAGTATAAAATTAATATTTTTTAAAATGAAATTAATAATCATAGTTTTTACTGTGGGAGAAATATTAGTCATGTTAAAAAAATGGTAACATTTAAATATAAATACTTTTATATTGTACTACTTTTAATAAAATATTTAAAACTCTAGAATCATATTACATTTATTAAAATTACCACCATAGTAGTCTTGATATATGAAAATTTATTTAAAAATTATAACTATTTTCTAACACCAATTATGTATGACTTATTTTCTCATAAAATTGTTAGAAGAATAATTTATATATACTTAAAAATTATACATTAAAACCTTTAACAGTTTTTTATTAAGGGTTTATTTAAAAAATTGCTATAGTATGATTAGTAAATATTTTGTCATCTTCAAATGTCACATACAAATACAAACAAAAATAAAAACAAATGAACCAGAAATATAAATCCAAACTTGTACATTTATTATCGATAATTACTCTAAAGAAAATTTTATTATTTAAAATAAAAAATAATATTCAATATTTATACATTATGTAATTAGAAATCTTATTTAATCTAGTTTTAGAATTAGTAATTAGATTTAAAATCCTTACCATAATATGGTCAATTCATAAAAGTTAGGTAATTAAAAAAAAAAATCAAAAGGAATATCATCTAGTATACTTCTGTCATTTTAATTTTTTTTTAATTTAAGTTTAAATATAAATTGTTTTAAATTGACTTTTTAAAAGTTTATTCTTAAATTATTTGATGAAGTAGAACACAAATTATGAATTTTTCATTTATTGTTATAATCCAAAGTTGTAATATGAGATTGAAATATTTATGGATTTGTAATTACCTAACTTTTGTAATTAATTATTTTTAGTTTATGAGTAATGCCATCAATAATTTAAAGATATTAATAATAAAAACCTCATTAACAATAATTTTATAAATAAAACCTCATTAAAAAATAATTTTACAAGGATTGAAAAAAAGGAGTATTATATTTAAGCCATTGAAAATCATGTACTAGCAGGTTCATGCATGGCTTTGTGAAAAGACAACATGGAATTCCAAAACTGAATTGCTCTTTCTATACACAATGTTTCTCTAATCTACACTATACTATCTGATAAGGTTTTTTTTTTTTTTTAGATGTTAACGTGGTGTTATGTTGCTGTTTCTTCACAATAAGTCCATATCATCTTTCTTGGAGTGACATTTTCTGCTGCGACAATGAGATTTAGGCTTTCTTTCCATGGTGTATTGCTGCACAACAAGAAGTGAGGAGTTTGTGCCAAAACTGGTTGAAGCTACAATGTCCCCCATGACCCCAAGTTCAGGGTTGTCACACCATTCCAACAACCTTTGGAAAATTGTGTACTTGTTGCCACTCCTGTCCCAAAACGTATAAGTCACACCCTGGTTGTTCATGGTTGTTTTAGACAATGGCCTGAGTCCACGGTTCACAAGGATCCCACAGAACAAGGTGGTTCCTGCAACACATTCTTGTTTATGTCACCTAATGCATCGTTGGTTGTTTCCAACACACCTTCTGAGTTTAGTTCTTTGTGGAATGGAAGGAGAATTAGGCTTGCACGTTTCTCTTCTGTCACGTTGTATATATCCTGATGGATTGTTTCATAGGTTGCAACAGTACCTGATGTGTCATCGTGTATGAGCCACCTTTCCTTCCGAGGTTTGTATGTTACCCAACACTAGAATATTTGTACATTGTAACAGTTTCCAAGCTCTAATTATTGGTTGGGCTTCAAGGACAAAATCATCATGTATGAGCCACCTTCCCTTGTGAAATTGACAAACCATTGTTTGGCCAGCTGGAGGCATCAGGCGTGTCTATTTTTGGTTCACCATACTCATTTTGTTTGACAGCAACATGAGAACCGGGTTTATGAAGGCTGCCAACAAGTGCAGCAAAAACTCTATCATCAGGTGTTAGACCCATTCTCAACATCTCGTCATACAACTTAAAAGCTTCATCTGCTCTCCCCTCGTTGGATAAACCACAAATAATTGTTGTATATGTCTTCACGCTTCCTCTTATGCCCTTTACCAACATTTCATTGAAAAGCTTCAGAGCCTCATCTACCTTGCCAACTATACATTCCCCATGTATCAGTGATATGTATGTAAATACATCTGGCATTATCTCCTTCTCTATCATTTTAGATTTAACACATGAGCTTGCTTTACTTTTTCTTTCCTGCTATATGCATCTATTAGAGTATTATATGCAACAATATTAGGCACCACACCCTTTTTATCCATATTCCCTAAGAACCTCTCAGCTTCTGCAAAGTTTCCTTCCTTACAATATATCTCAATAAAAGTAGCGCAAGTCACAACGTTCGGAGCCACTCCTTTCTCCACCATCAAATTTAGTGTTCTCTTGGCTTCTTCATACTTATGCAATTTACATAGCCCACTAGCAAGTGTGCTGTATGTAAACACATCTGCTTCAAACCCTTTTCTTTCCATGATAACTTGCTAATGTCCAACAAGTGTTTGATGAAATGCTACAATGAAGAATTGTATTTGCATCACAAACATTTTGTATAATATGCACAAGATTTACACCCACGTTTGCATAATACACAATTTCACCAAAATTATGTGTAACATTCTTGGACTAAATTTTTCTTTTTTAACTATTTTGTCATTGTAAGTTTAATTTTAATAATTTGTAACAGGATTAGTTTGGGAAAAAATATCTGCAAAAAGAGACCGTCATGAAGACAAAAAGGTATGTGTATGTTATGGGCCATGATAATAGATCACGGAAACCAATTGATAGAGCTATGGTAAATATTTGTTTTAAGTTGTCTACGTAGGTAATATAGTTAATTCAGAGCTATGTTTATTTGGCGAATAATGTAATATTGTAAACAGTTGCAATGTTTTGAACATCTATTGTCGCTGTTGGAAACAAAGTCATCGGGGACCACTGGAGAACTTAAGGTTACAAAGGAGGACTTGCCAATTCAACCAAACATGTTAGTATGTTATTATAGTTGAAATTTTGTTTGCAAAATGTTGTATGTAATGTGTGTAATAACTACATTCAATTGTGCAGGTATGATTGTGGATTGTTTGTTTTAAAATATATGGAGTTGTGGGATGGTGTGAGCAAAGTGAATGGGAAAAGCATGCCTCATTACACATCGGTAAACATTAAAGTCATTGTATTATTGTTTTGTTTTTTATTACTATGAATATAATTTATTATGACATTCTTCATATTGTACAGGAGCAAGTTCAGAAATTTCGAGAAGAATATGTATGCAGATGGGTACTTCATCCTCAAAATCTTCATCGACAAGTCATGGTTATTGAATCAGGAGTTAACATCCTCATCTAGGAATAGAAATGTAGATATTGTATTTGATTATTTGTTCATCTTCATTGATGAATGTTGTACAGTTTATTCATATGTAATATAACTGTTAAGTTGGTTATGGATCATTTAAATGTTAAATATTATGACATTAACAAGTAACTGATTTTTGGATCATTTTTTTTATTTTGACAATTACATTATTGATTGGGTTTTACCGTCCCAGTTGCACAATATCCCTATTCAGATGATGCAGACTATCTCCATGTAACAGAGAGTGTATATTGAGAACCACAGTTGTACAAAATATATTTAATTACTACCAGATTTATATTTTACGAACATATGAAGATGCTCCTCTATAGTATTTGTTAGAAAAGTAGTTTTAGATCAAGAGGGGGGGTGAATTGATCTTTGAAAGTTTTTCGCAAATCACAGATTATCTAATTCGAAAATTAAGTTTACTAATCTATTCTTGAATCGCAAAGCAATCAATCAAAATAAGCGCAGCAACTGAATTTAAAGGAGAGAAAGGTTAAGAAAGATATCACCGGTATTTTATACTGGTTCACCCAATACCAGGGCTACGTCCAGTCTCCAGCCAAATTCCAGCTGGGTTCCACTAGATTAAATGTTTTACAGATTCAACAATCTTACACCTAATCTATCACAAGAACCAAATTCCAGTTCCTGCACTTAACCTCTCCACCAAGAACCAAATTCCAGCTCTTGATAACCTCTACAACCAAATTCCAGCTGCAGAGAAACCAGTACCCAAATTCCAGTCACCACACAGTACAAAAGAATGAAAAAGAATTGACAAAGAAGAAACTAGAAAGCTCAGACCAGTTTATCCAAATCTGCAGAGAGTTTCTTCTTCAAAAGAATGCAAGTTGCCTCAAGAAAGATTTTCAAAAGAACTTCTAAAAAATTGTTGCGAATCTTTCTTGAAAAGAGCTAAAGTTTGCTTGAATGATTGCTTAAGGATGTGTAAAAACTGATCTTCAATGTATGTTTAAAAAGTTCAAGCCAAACTGTTTTTAAAGAGTATTTTCAAAACTGCTGCATTAATTAATCTGTTAAAAGTTTGTTTTAATCTGTTGAAATAGCCGTTTCAATCTGTTAAAAGTCCTTTCAATCCATTAATACGTTCTTGATTCTTTAACAGATTTGTTTTAGCTGATACAACAACGTTTATATCAGTTAAAACACTTTACAAAAATTCTTCTAAGTTAATTCAATCGATTCTTTCACGTTTTAATCGATTGAAATACTGCAAACTTTCTTATAAAACTTTTCAAGTTATTTTAACTGATAAACCATAGGATTTAATCGATTAAAACTCTGCACAAAATTTTTCCAAGTTGTTTTAATCGGTTGAAATGCGTTTTAATCGATTGAAACAGATATGATCGGTCATAATTCAATTCTCATCGATCATAACCATCTCTGATCGGTCATAACTCCATTCTGATCGATCATTCTGACCCTTTAAGTGATTTTAATCGATTGAAACGTGTTTTAATCGATTGAAATAAATTCTGATCTCTTTTATTTCAAATCTGATCGGTCATAATGGGTTCTAAAAGGTTTTAATCGATTAAAAGCAATTTGTATCGATTAAAATACTGTAAAAACACTTCTTTGAACATTCTAAGTGATTTTAATCGGTTCTTTCAAAACTATATCAGTTAAAAACATTATTAAGAAAGCTTTTGTCAAAATGCTTTGTTTTTAATTGTTTAAAACGATTTTAGAGGCATTTTGCAAAATCATTTAAGTGAAGAAACTTCATGCAGCAGAAAAAGTAAAGTGGTTTTACCTAAGCATTCTGTTAGACACACTAATCCTCTAACTCTTTTATCTAAGTGACTTGTTGACTGCTGCAAAGTTGACTTTTGACTCCATCTTTGACTTCATCAAATCAATGAGATCTTTGCCAAATTATTTCAATAAGATCTTCATCACTTTCAGTATTAACTGTTAAAGGGCATGTTGGATTGGTTGATAAGGGTAGAACTATCCTCATACCACATACTTGGATGATATATGGAGCGTGGCCACCACCCACTCTCACTGCACAAGTAAACATCATGGTAACATCAACAATCGGCCAAGTATAACTTAGTTCCACAAAACAAAATGGTCATTAATTTCCATTTGAATTTCTGATGGCAAGATGTAGATATGTAATATAAAAGAAGAAATTCAGATTAAGAGAACAAGGGAAGAGAACAATATAAACTAGCATATGGAAATTGTACAAGTGATAAGATTTATTGTAGGAAAGATGTATAGGTTTACGTATAATCTTTGTACATAATAGATAACTTCATGCTTAATAGTTGTAAAGAATGCGCTTAACAAAAAACAGATTGAAATTTGCATGTCACGTCTCATTCAAGTTCAGCCTTGGCCACAGACGAAATATCCAATGCAGTTAGCCACATACTGTAACATGGATAACCACATATTTGAATCACTTGCCGCTCGACCGAGAATAACGTCGCTTGCGCGAGAAACAACCCGAGAGTCCCTATATTTTGTAAGGGTACCTCGCTCAAGCGAAACATATCTAGCTTGAGCGAGTACTGGCCGTTGACGAAACGTGCAACGCAGGTAACCACATAATATGACATGGGTCACCACATATTCGAATCAATTATCGCTAGAGCGATTAGGACATCGCTTGAGCGATAAAGAACCCGAGAATCCCCATTGTTTAAAGGTTTTGTCGCTTAAGCGATGTTTTCGTCGCTGGAGAGTGTTGACCTAATGACGAAACGTTAAGCGCAGTTATTCAAATAATATATCTTGGATCACCACATATTAGAAACACTTGTTGCTCAAGCGTTCATAACGTCGCTTGAGCGAGATAGAACCCGAGGTTCCCCTTTGGTTAAGGTTCCATCGCTCAAGCGATGTGAAACTCGCTTGAGCGACTGGTGAACCACAGACGAAACGTCCTACGCAGTTAGCCATCTAATATAACTTGGTTCAACACATATAAGATTCAACTGTCGCTCATGCGATTACATAGTCGCTTGAGCGCGACTGAACCCGAGAGTCCCCACTGTTTTGAGCGACCTTAGATAGCGGTTAATAGGAACCGCTTTTAAAAATATATATCGCTGTCTAACGTATGTTTATAATATATAACAGCTCCCTTATATCATACTTTTAAAGAGCGGTTGACCCTTGGAACGCTATAATAAATGTAGTTTAGATAGTGGTTGGCCAAATAACCGCTATCTAAAGTCATATATTTCAAAGTGATCGACTATAATTGGATAATAATCGATCATAATTTTCGATAACCGATTATAATTGGGAATGATCGATTAGAGTTGGAGAACATCGATCATAGTTTGTGCTAAGCGATTATAGTTTTACATAATTTCGCTCTGCATCTCTCTCGCCGGCGCACGCAGAAGAAGCATGCAGCAACCATCGAGCTTAATGTATTCTTTGCTTTCTAATTACTCGCAGATTCTCTGTTCTCTGTTTTCGTTCACTGTTGACTATCTCAATAGTCGTAAACATAAACCATGGCTGGCAAAAGAAAAAGATCCAAGCGCACCCACTCAGAAGCGACTTCTTCAAGTACCCAAACTGTGACCACGAAGGAGGTGATAGCCCCAAAGGTCCTTGACACGCAATACTTTGTTAATAACGGATTTGACTTCATTAGCAAAATATAACCGATCATATACCACTTATAATCGATCATCATAACGTATAATCGATTATAACCAAAAATAATCGATCATTTTATCTGATTTTCCTAATATCGCTCAAGCGAAAATAACATCGCTCGAGCGACCACACCTATTAAGATTGGGGATTCTCGGGTTGTGTTTCGCTTGAGCGACAGTGATCTCGCTCGAACGATATCCGATTCAAACATGTGGTCACCCATGTTACATTATGCGGCTAACTTTGATCGACGTTTAGCCGTCCCAGTTGCACAATATCCCTATTCAGATGATGCAGACTATCTCCATGTAACAGAGAGTGTATATTGAGAACCACAGTTGTACAAAATACATTTAATTACTACCAGATTTATATTTTACGAACATATGAAGATGAAGATAACAGATAACTTCATGCTTAACAGATAACTTCATGCTTAATAGTTTTAAAGAATGCGCTTAACAAAAAACAGATAACTTCATGCTTAATATTTCTGTGTCGTTGGAGCTGAACATCACTGTCTGTCGCTTGAGCGACCCTGCGGTGAGTGTTCGTTTAACAACATTTGCTTGATTTTGTGTATATTTTTTATTGGGTTTCTATTGTTGTTTTCGTTTCTGTTTATCTTTGATTGGGTTTGTAACGAAAGTATTCTGTAGGGTTTAGGGTTAATTGAGTTGTGATGCTATATTAATGTCCAACAAGTGTTTGATGAAATGCTACAATGAAGAATTGTATTTGCATGACAAACATTTTGTATAATATGCACAAGATTTACACCCATTGTATTATATTATATGCACAAAATGCACAACATTTTGCAAATATCAAGCAATATTATAAGAGAACTAGTTAGTTGATACTCAGTTAGTGATCATTGTTTTAGAATAAAACAATATCTTGTCCCATTCACCCCTTTAGATGTTTGTGAAAGTGATGAAGATCTTATTGAAATACATTGGCAAAGATCCCATTGATTTGATGAAGTCAAAAGTCAACTTTGCAGCGGTCAACAAGTCACTTTGATAAAAGAGTAGAAAGAGCGAGGATAACATCGTTTGAGCGATGGAACCTTAACCAATGGGGACCCTCGGGTTCTGTCTCGCTCAAGCGACTTTATGAAAGCTTGAGCGACAAGTGATTCTAGTATGTGGTGAACCATGTTATATTATTTGGCTAACTACTTTTGACGTTTTGTCATTGGGTCAACTCTCGCTCAAGCGACAAGTTCATTGCCTGAGCGACGAAGCCTTCAAACAAGGGTGACTGTCGGGTTCTGTCTCGCTCAAGCGACGGTAATGAGAGCGGTTCTAGAACTAACCGCTATTAAAAGTGTATTTTCGATAGTGGTTAACTTGGAACCGCTATCAATGTGTACTTTTAAGAGCGGTGAAAATATTAATCGCTCTTAAAAGTGTCAAATATATATTAAAACAGTCTTACTTCACTTCCCTCTTTTCTCAAATTCAGAGAGACACAGACTCTCCACCATCCTTCATTCTTCTCTTTCGTTCCTTTCGATCCGTCACCGTAGGAACAACCATTACTAGGACCGTAACTAGTTTCACCAGCCCGTACAGCAATTCATGGCGCGGGCACTCACTCACCTCATTCTCATCACGTTTATCACCCTCTTAATATTCCTCCAACTCATCGCCGGCAACTCCACGCTCCTCCGCAACCGCCGCCATGGCTCACGCCCTGCTATGGTTCTTCCACTGTACCTCTCCGCACCAAATTCCACTACGTCAGCGCTCGATCCCCGTCGCCAGCTTTACGGATCCGAGTCCAAGCGCCACCCTAACGCGCGCATGAGACTCCACGACGATCTCCTCCTCAACGGGTAAACCTCTTAGGTCGTCGTTTCACGCACATCACCCTAACCTTTTGTTTTTATTTAATAGAACTCTGTAATTGATGATTTATGCGTGTGTGGAATTGAATGATTTAGCTATTACACGACGCGGCTTTGGATCGGGACTCCTGCGCAGATGTTTGCTCTTATTGTTGATACGGGGAGCACTGTTACGTATGTTCCGTGCTCCTCTTGCGAACTGTGTGGCAGGCACCAGGTAATGCTTCATTGCGTTGTGTTTTTCTTTTGCTTTCAATTTGTGTATGTAATAATGTTACTGGATGTGATGCATCATTGTGTTGTGATGTGTGTTAAGGATGGATATCTGTTTGTTTGTTTTCCTTTTTCAGACACATCCTTGCCTTAGTTATTTTGGATTCATAAATACTGCAAACGGTAAACGAAAATTGAATTATATGAAAGAACTGGGACAGGATACGACAGTGTGGTTGTGTTGAATATGGTAAATCAGAAATGAAATATATTCTGAAAAGTATTGTCTGTCATCTTTATTACACACCCAGAGATGGTACAGAGGTTTATAGCATTAACTAGGTGTCACGCATATAGCATGCGTCACCTATTCCTAACAAAATACACAGAACAATGCATCACGTATACAAAACAGAAAAGATATAAAATCAGATAATCAAAACAAAAATATATTCCCTCATATTCCTAACAAGCCCACTTAAACTCAAGGTTATTGAAAATAATCGATAACATTAAGTTTGTGACGCAGAAGTCAAAAAGGACTTTGGGAGAGAGGTTTGATGAGGATATCAGCAACATGATCAATAGCAGGGATGAGAGTGACAATTAAAGACTGATTAAGGACTTTCTCATGAACAAAGAAGATATTAAGTTCCGTATGCTTTGTGCGAGAATGCAACACAGGATTAGGCTGGGAGCAACAACGCTTTGATTATCATAGAGAATGGCTAGTGTAGTACAACTGATGTGGATTTCCTTGAGAACTGACTGCAGCGGTAGAATTTCAGAGGTAGTGATAGTAAGACTTCTATATTCTGCCTTAGCATTGGAATGGGCAACCAGAGTATACTCCTTAGACCATCAGGAAAGTTATGTCCAAAGAAAATACAAGCACCAAAGGTAGACCGACGATCATCTATATCCAAAGCCTAATCAGCATTGTAGTATGCATGTAAAGTGTAACCGCCATTGGAGAGAGTTGCAAGGCGAAGATGTAGACCATGAGAAAGAGAGTCATTTAAGTAGCGGAGTATACGTTTTACAGCTTTCCAGTGTTCTATTAAAGGCTAAGCCATGAATTGACAACCTTGTTCACACTATAACTAATTCTTGGCCTTGTAATAGTCACATATTTTAAGGCATCAACAATAGAATGATAAAGAGCAGGATCTTCCATGTAATCAGAACTAAGTTTGGACAGTTTAAGTCCTCCTTGAATAGAGTAGATATATCCTTTGCATCGGCCATGCCAACTTTATCAAGAAGTTGTCTAAGCGAGATTAAGAGAGACAGTTGTATCCAAGTGTTTGAATAGTTCAATTCGAGCTTCTTGAGCAACTAATAACGATTCAATTTCATCAAGGGAGAATAATTCTGGTTTGTTGTTGATGAGCGAGATGAAAAACTCATATTCAACAAGGAGACCTTCAATGAGAATATCCAGTTGTTCTTGTTCAGGAACAGAATCACCGATGGAGTTGAGGGCATCTTCAATAGTTTTAATGATGAGGAGAAACTCAGTTAAATTGAGAATGAATTTTATCCCAAAATTGAAAAGAGTATTGGCATCGAATAACATGAGTTAAGAAGGCAACTGACAAAGACGACTACAACCACGACAAGAGTAGTTGGTCTTGATTCTCTCAAGCATTGAACTCAAGATTTTCAATTACTAATTCACGATCAGAAGCTGACAGAAAGAAGGTAGAAACTGTGGGCTTTGATGACTAGTTCAACTTGCGGTTTTCAGAGGAGGAAGTTGGTATCAGAGAGTTTTTCCAATATTGTGTATGAGAAGAGAACCGGTGACGAAAAAGACTTGGGTTTGGAAGTAGTACCCATGAAGCAAAGAATAGTGGAAAAAAGAAATGACGACATGATCTCGAAAGAAAAAAAAATCAAACTGTGATACCATGTTGAATATGGAAAACCAAAAAAAAAAATATATTCTGAAAAGTATTGTCTATCATTTTTATTACACACCCACATATATATATATATATATATATATATATATATATATCTATATCTAACATAGCATTAGCTAGGTGTCATGCATACAACATGCGTCACCCATTCCTAACAAAATACACAAAACAATGCAACACATATACAAAACAGAAAAGATATAAAATCAGATAATCAAAACTGAAATGTATTCCCTGATATCTCTAACAGGTTGTGGTCTAGGCTTTTTTAAGTATCAATGCACTACCAGCCTGCATGTTATTGGTGAGAGTAAAAATGGAAGGGTGTCAAATGGAGGAGTGAAGATTAACAGCATATTCGGATATGATAGAAGTCTAGATACTGATAATATAATGATTCATTCGTATCATTCTTCCATTTGTCTACCTTTCCATGTTTACTTATAGGCCGCACATTCTCGGGTTAGTATATATGGGTGAGAAATAAGCTAGCAAAAATTTTGGCTTTCAGCTTCGTTTCCCTTGGTTTGTTTATTACTTGAGTTTTCAGCTGGTTAAGATTAGGTCTTTGAAAATACCTAATTAGGTTAGCATGCTTGTATATGTGTGATAGTTTTTTAATAGGAAAAAGATAAAATGAACTCCCAGCAAGTCCCAACATTCATTCTACACTCCTATTTTATTATTTTATTTTGAGTCATAATTGACTAGAACAAACAAAAATAATAATAAATAAAGCTACAAAGGTGGGTGTTGTGGAGGTGTTTGATAAAATGAGTGGTCTGTGTATCACTGCTCTTTTTAATATGCTTGTTTGGTTTATGATGTTTATATTTATTAATTTTATAAACAATTATGATTTTGATTTTGATTTGATGTCAATGCCTGTTTGAGACCTTGATGTAGTAGGCCTATAAAAACCTATTTGAAAGCCATCATTCAATATTTTGAAATAGGTTGTTATATTTTCATACATAAATATGCCAGGCCAACAAAAATGCTTATACCATCATCTGGCAATAGTAGGTCATGCTAAAGCCAGTGCAAAGATTGCTCTAACTGATGATTTCCATCCCTATTAATGCAGTAGACCAATTGTGCTTCCATTGTGTTTCTGAAGGCGTCATTTTTTTGTAAGATAGAGATGTAAAAGAATGACTTTGTTTAAAATTTGTTGGACCTATGCATGTTTAAGTTGTTACCAATCCAATTTAGCTCAAGTGATAGTGGATTGGGTTTGCGTGCCCATTTTGTGTTAAGAGGACCGAAAATGATGCAAAAGAATATTTGTATTACATTCTTGTTTGTGTGTGAAAGTCCATCCGTTTAATCTCAAGTAGACTGGGCTTGTGTGTCCAATTTATCTTAACAGGATCCAAAGTTTCAGCCAGATTCATCAAGCACCTATGAACCTGTCAAATGTACAATTGATTGCAACTGTGACAGTGACAGGATGCAGTGTGCGTATGAGAGAGAATATGCTGAAATGAGTTCGAGCAGTGGTGTCCTTGGTGAGGATGTCATATCCTTTGGAAATCAGAGTGAGCTTGCTCCACAGCGTGCTGTTTTTGGCTGTGAAAATGTTGAGACTGGTGATCTTTATAGTCAACATGCTGATGGCATCATGGGTTTGGGCCGCGGAGATCTTAGTATCATGGATCAACTTGTGGAAAAAAATGTAATAAGCGATTCATTCTCACTATGCTATGGTGGCATGGATGTTGGAGGGGGAGCAATGGTTCTTGGTGGCATATCTCCCCCATCAGACATGGTCTTTGCATATTCAGATCCTGTGCGCAGGTGTGTTTTAAAATTCTTATTTGTGGATATGAGATGTAATGCATTTTCTTAACAAATGCATTTTATTAATCTCACACATTTACTCTAGTTTCGGGGTGGCGACAGTCCATATTACAATATTGATTTGAAGGAGATACATGTTGCGGGGAAGCAACTGCCTCTAAATACAAATATTTTTGATGGGAAACATGGAACTGTCCTGGATAGCGGTACAACTTATGCTTACCTGCCAGAAGCAGCATTTCTTGCATTTAAAGACGCGGTAAGTTCTTTTGTAAATAGTTTCATATGAAGTTGGACTTGCAATTTTATAGTTTCATCTGTCATTTTCTAATTTAAGTTTCATGTTATTCAGTATGTAGCTAGAATAAATTGTTCAATTGGCCAAGATATAATTGCATAAAAAGCTTTTAAGGAAAAGCTGAAAATTTTTAGGCTACTAGAAATGGACGGACTAAACTTGAAAACCTAGCTTAAAGAGAGAGAGACCAGGTCTTAATTAAGAGTATGTTGGCTATGTTCCTATCTGATGTGCGCCATCTTAATAACCCCTTCCCCCTCAGGATGGAGAATGGACATTTGGAATGTGAAGTTTACTAGATTGGAGGCGGCTTATTTAAGTTAGTTCAAAGGGAGAGGATTATTAAGTTTTATAAAGAGTATTTAGGCCATGTTCCTAACCAAGGTGAGACATCTTAATAGTGGCCAAGCAATATACACATACTCTCCACTGCACGAAGAGGAGCATATTCTGAGCCTTTTTTTTTTACCTTTCCTTGTTTTACGAAAACCGTTGCATGTAAAGCTATATGCGGATCTTATTAAGTTTTGAATGGTTTCTCAAGTATTGTGGTGCAGATTTTGGTGCCAGGTTTTTGAATACCAACCCTTGGCTTCTAGTTGGTGGGATGCAAAGTTGATACTGTTTAACCTTTTCTGAATAAATTTTAAAGGTTTTAAGAATCATCAATGATTTTCTTCTTTTAAATAGTCGTAGTCTTTATTTCATACTCTTAATTGAGCATTTACTGATTTATAAATAATTCGACGAATCTCCTGTTGATTGGGAGCTTCAATGGTTTCTTTGTATGTGGTCCCAAGGGTATCAAGATTTGAAGTATTTAATTTCGCATCTATCAGTGAGCATCATTTAAAGGGTATTCTTTCAAGGCATTGTTTTAGCAACAAAATTGTATTTAATAGACTTCATGATACCGATTATACTTATTTGGTTTGCAGATATTAAAGGAACTTCAATCTCTCAAGCAGATCAGTGGTCCAGATCCAAATTATAATGATATATGTTTTTCTGGTGCTGGAATGTATGTCTGTTACATTAAGAGCTCACATTCATTAATTGCAGTTTTCTTAACAGCTTGGGTTTGCTTGTATTTCAGTGTTGCTTCTCAACTCTCTAAAAGTTTTCCAGTGGTTGACATGGTATTTGGAAATGGTGAAAAGTATTCACTCTCACCTGAAAACTACATGTTCCGGGTTAGTGATACATAATTACTAGTATCTTTAGCTGTGTTTACAGGCTGGTGAAATTGTTATCAATTGTTAACGATTCCATAATCCGTACGTTTCATGGGTCCATTCTTTATGAAGCATTCAAAAGTGCGAGGAGCATACTGTCTTGGGGTTTTTCAAAATGGAAAGGACCCAACTACTCTATTAGGAGGTAACTTATTTGATTTTTGGAACTTTATCTATTTCATGCTTTATAATTCATGTGAAATCTTATTCCGCTCTAATTTTGTATTACATGGGTAAGCTTCTGTGGTATAGGTTCCAGCAATTCTTTAGTGATAATTCCCAAGTCATTTTTGTTCACATAGGTATTATTGTCCGAAACACTCTTGTGATGTATGATCGTGAGCAAGAAAAGATTGGTTTCTGGAAAACAAACTGTGCCGAGTTATGGGAAAGATTACAGGAATCCATTGCCCCATCATTACCTCCAAATTCAGAAGCAAGCTATCCAACTGAAGCATTAGAGCCGTCAGTTGCTCCATCTTTGTCGCAGAATAATTCTCCTCCAGGTATTATGTGCTGCCAGTCTTCAAATGTGCTTAAAAGTATATACAGAGACATCATGGGTTAACATGGGCCATGTCAGAAGTTTTATATTCCTTATCTTTGTTAATCATGCTTTTAATGTCTCAGTAATTAGTGCAAATTCCTTTTATTTGAATACTCGTTGATGACGAATGTACTTTAACAAACTCAAATGTACAGGTGAACTTAAAATTGCACAAATAACAATGTTAATTTCCTTTAACATCAGTTATGTGGATATGAAGCCTCACATTACAGAATTGGCTGGACTCTTCGCTCATGGGTTAGATATTAATACTTCCCAGGTTAGAAAATTATTACTACATCGCATGAATATTTATTGCTTAAACATTCAAGTTCAACTCACAATTTTAATAAAGTTAAAAATTGTTTGATTAAAAATGTACATGTACACATAGTACGGCTAGCATAGGTGGGGATTTTGGTAAGAGGTCCCAAGCTAAAGGCTCTCATAATTTGTGGTGATAACTTTCAGAAGTACCCAAACAAGTTATCCATTTTCAGTCAATTTACACTCTAATATGTTTTTTGTTACCTTATAATGGATGTTTACAGGTCCACTTACTGAATTTTACGTCAACTGGAAATGATTCCCTCAGTAAATGGGTCATAACCCCAAAACCGTATGCTCATTATATTTCTAACACTACTGCAACGGTAAGTGGACATATTTGCACAGCATTTTTATGAAGACTGCCCATTTAATGGTGATTTTCTGTACAGAATATAATTTCCCGGCTAGCTGAACATCGCATCCAACTTCCTGACTCCTTTGGAAATTATAAGTTGATTGATTGGAGTGTTGAGCCTCCATCAAAGTAAGTTTTTCCATTAAAAGGAAAAGCCCTAAATTGGGAATGTTATCTGTTCCTGTTGAAAGTCCCACATCGCCTACCTCATGTCATTTGGTATGATTTAAATACATGTTAGGCTACTCCACATATGACCAATTGGTTTTATGTTGGAACCTTAACATGGTATCAGAGTCAAAGCCTAACATGTTTCCGGTTATTGTCATGGGCCAAAAGTTGTCCTTTAGTTGGGTCAAAAGTACCCTTTGCCTGGTCCGGCAGGCTTCGTTGGAGGGGATGTGTTGAAAGTCCCACATCACCTACCTCATGTCATTTGGTATGGTTTAAATACATGTTAGGCTACTTCACATATGGCCAATTGGTTTTATGTTGGAACCTTAACAGTTCCATACCTTCTGTATTGTTATCTTGTATTAATTGTGGTTGGTTTCACATAATTCATTGTAACCCATGCTTTTCATTGTGCATATCTGATATTTTACAAATTCGTAGCATCGATTCTAGATTCAACAGATTGCTTTCTCAATTTGAAGCTGCGGAAAAAAATTTGTGTTTGGATTTTAAATAAACTCTAATCATGGGTATGGTACGGCCCTTTAACCTTTTTTCTTAACTTTTCTTCTAATTAGTAAGTAGGGTATGGGCCAAAGAAACTTTTACGAAAATGCAAATTTTATAAAAGAGATAACTAAGAGAAAACGTATTGGATATAAAGGTAGACATCTATGAAGCAGAAACACTTCAAAACAGTCTAAACAGTACTCAAATATAAATATTTTTGAGACTTGGTACATGTTTTTAAATTTAACACTTATTTTTCTTTTCATTTGAAGATGAACTCCTCACCTCTCACTTTTTCTGGATATGGCCCATATGTTTGTATTTGGGTAATAACTAATTTATGTATTTGTCTATTATGTGTTTTGTCCCTAATTGGCTTTTACTTCCTGGTATCGGACATATTATATGCCTTTTTCATTGATAGTTGGAACTATTAATTTAGTTTTAATCATATTTTTCAGGACATTATATTTTTATTAGTTTATTAAGCAAATTATGAGATAAATAAGCTTTGAAATGGATCATCTGTATCTCCTTGTATTGCACTAGATAACATGTTATTCTATTGAAAGTCACCAACTTCTCAGTCTCTCAGCTTTTTATTTATTTATGATTACGGCTAGGCTTTATTTAAAGGTGGTTGTGCTTTGACCTTTCTGAAAATGATATCATTGTTTCTGCCTTGGGTAGTTGTGGTATAGCATATATAGAATAGAAGAGAATATCTTCTTCCTTTGAAAAGCTAACTTTAGGAATTCTGTCTCCGTTGCTATAGAATTTGCTGCTGTAGGCCTCACTGGTCTTGGTGACTGCGCTCTTTCTTTTTGCCACATGCTATCATAGAAACGGCATATTTACACGCTACTTGTTGAGTAGAAATTCTTAGGGTATAATGAGTAATAAGAAATTCTTAGTTGACATTCCATTAATTGGCGGGTGCAATGGCATCATTGTGTGGAGGTAAATTTTTAATATGATCCACACAACCTTTCATTTATAGAAAAATTTTATAATATTGAACTGAATGCCCCTGGTAGGCAGTCAGTGCCTATCTACAATTTTCTCGTTATTGAGTTATTGAATTTGCCTGATCAATATTAGTAACTCACTTTGTGTCCACATTTTTTAAAAGCAGTTAGAAAGACGATTTCCAAAATAATAAGGATAAAATTGTAACATTCAAAAATCCAGTTAAAAAACAAATTAGAAAAAGCAGTTACAAAATATTAAGGGTAAAATAGAAAGCAATTATGTACATCAATGGTTATAAAATTCAATCCCCTTAGTAGTATAGAATATAGAAGAGTATGGATGACAACTTCTGATATTTACACACTTGCCTATAATGATGCAGGAATTGGTGGCAGCAATACTTCTGGGTCGTGGGTTTAGCTATTTTGGTGGCATTACTTGTAGGACTGTCAATATTAGGAACGTTCTTAATTTGGAGAAAAAGACAGCAAAACTTGCATTCATACAAGCCAGTGGATGCATCTGTTCCTGAGCAAGAACTTCAGCCATTATGAGTTAAAAATCACACTACTGCTTCTTAATATCTTTCTTACTTGATAGTGTCAGTGTAGGTCAGTAGCATATTCAACTATTATCTAGATAGGAATTAATGCAAACCATATTCAGTCAACTGAAGTTTTTTTTTTTTTTTTCAAAGATATCAGGCTGTCACGATATCCGGTGATCATTGAACCCTGATAGAGGTATATAAAGATTTCTCTAGATATGTCATCATCTGTAAAAGCAATTTTGTTGTGAATATTGTAATATGCCAGATGAATCAAAGGGTGGCAGCAGAAGGTTGAAATACAATTTCATATATTGTAATAGTAACTTTGACATTTCGTTTCAGGTGTTACTTTTTACCGAGTTATGCTCTTATTTTTCAGTTTCTACTATTCTCAACTGGGACTGTCAAATAAAGTCCAATGTACCAATGAAGTAGATTGGTTTGGGGGTAAATCCCTACTTTAATTCAAATGTACAGTTAATCTGCTTCATTATTGTATTTTTCTCATTATTTTCAAGCGGATTTGCTTACTTATCTACCAAAAGTGGATAATTGAAAGATAAAATAGAATCTGCTATTTCGGGATAAACGGCATTTCATAATCTTGTACACATGCTATCCATCCGTGTTTGAGACTGTCTACATATATCTTGACAATAGTATGCACCAAACGGAAAGCCCTTTTAAATCTATCACAAAATCAGTTTGTACAAGTTTAAATAGGTCCTGTATTTAAGGAAATAAGACTATATTATTTAAAAAAAAAATCCTGATGCAATCATCTACAATTTTAATCGCAATTAATTTAAACAATCATTTAAGAATTAATTATAGGTTTTTTTTAAGCGTTTGTTTCTTATATTCAGTTTTAATTTTCTGCCGTTTTCCTAAGTCCAGGATGTTCAACCAATGTAAAATTTGACCGCATTTTCAAAGTGAATGTTTGTTTGACAAGAAAAAGATAATGCAGCGAAATGGGAAGAGATAAAATGGGACAAATGGGACAATTTCTTCCTGCACCTCTATTCTTTCTCCATACAACTCTATATCCTAAGTAAAATAACTAAAACACCCTTTCAATAATTTTTGTTTCAAATCATAATTCCTTCTTCTATTTTCCTGTAAAAGTTCTACACCTTCATTTAAGATCCTTTTCAACACTTATATTAATATTATTTATCTATTACATGTTTTTACACTAATAATGCACATTGAGACCCATATTACTCAATTCAAAACAATTTTACAAAAATCAGATTGAATTCTGAAACATGTTGGGATAAAGATATTTGATTAACTAAATTATAGGTTTGTATAATGGTACAAAATATTATATAATTAGAACTTCCTTTATTTAGTCTTAATTTGTTGGAGTAAACTATAAAATCATAGTATCTGTGTACAAAAATAATATGAATTAAAAATTATAGAATGAATTCTATATTTTTCAATTTGGTACCAGAGCTTATAATTTTTTTCTTTTTCTTTCTAAATCCTTGGAGATCTTAACTAGAGAGATGGTAGAAAAACAAATTCCAATAGTTGTTCAATTTGAAGGTGTCTTTAACGTAGGCATCATCCTAAATGAATCTAATTGTGACGTATGATCACAACTAATGGAGTTGCACATTGCAAAAAGAGAAAAATTGTCCTACATCCGTGGGAAGGTGAAGTTTCCAACATAGAATGATGAGGGATATGAAAAATGGTATGCTGAAAACCAAAAAGTGAAAAGATGGCTATTGATGTCCATGAAGCCAAAAATCATGAAAATGTATCTTCACTTACCCACTGCCCTCGATATTTGGAATGTTTTGTCAAAGACATTTTATGATGGAAGTGATGAGCTATAGGTGTTTCCCCTGAATCAAAGGGCATTCACTACAAAACAAAATAATAGAACCTTAATTGAATATTATGGGGAGTTGGTTGAGATTTTTAGGGAATTGGACCATCGTGACAAAGTAGTCATGAAGGACCCTGATGATGTGAAGTCATATCAAAAGTCCATTGAAAGATTAATGGTGCATATATTCTTTGTTGGACTGGATGATGATTTTGAGCAAGTTTGTGGAAAAATCTTGCGCAAGGAAGTAACACCTCATTTAGAAGAATGTTATGCATTAATCCGGAGAGAGATAGTCCGGCGAACAACGTTGAAAACAAAAGATATGATTTCTGATTCCACAACTATGATGGCAAAGAATCAACCAGCAAATCGAAGCAATCAAAAGATTTGGAAAAAGGTAACTACAAGTATACTCAGTGTAATAAGGATGGACACACCAAGGAACGATGCTATGAAATCATAGGATACCCTGAGTGGTGGGATCACATTCGAGCATCGAAGAAGAATTCAAAAAGAAATCCAATTGCTACTGCTGTAACTGTCATTGACAAAGAAGACAACAAAGACATGATGTTTGCTACAATCGCACGTAGTAATAATTCCAATGGTAAGGCTTTAATAAGCAAATCTACCGTTTTGAATAATACATGGACAATTAACTCTGCATGTTCTGATCATGTGACTTTTGATGTTAGACAGATTAAAAATCTTAAACCTTTCTTACAAAAAAGTATTTCCACAGTCAATGGTAGTAAATTCACTATTATTGGAGAATGAACTGTCTCTATTTCAAACAATTTGAATCTTGATATTGTCCTTGTTGTTCCTTGTCTTAAATATAACCTATTGTCAGTCTCGCAAATAACCAAAACTCTTTTATGTATTGTAATTTTTGGGTCTGACTCTTGTATTTTTAAGGACATTCAAACGAGGAAGACGATTGGTTGTGATATTAGGCGAGGAAGATTGTATTACCTGGACCTGACAGAAAAAGATTCAAAGAGACTTGGTCAAGTGCTAGCAACAAAAGGGTCTCAAGAAGTAAGAAAAGGCGAGGATATTTGGTTATGACATAAGCGTCTAAGACATGCATCTTTTGATTACATAAAGAAATTATTTCCAAATGTATTTGACCAAGTAGACACTTCAACTTTTTATTGTGATGTTTGTGAGCTTGCAAAGAGTCATAGAACATATTTTCCTTTAATTTCAAATAAAAGTTCTCTTCCTTTTATGATCATTCGCTCTGATGTATGGGGTCCATCTAAGGTTATAACGTTGGGTGACTCAACGTGGTTTGTAACGTTTATTGATGATTGTACTTGAATGACTTGGTTATGTTTGATGGAGTCTAAAAGTGAAGTTGGAGGCCTATTTCAGAAATTCTGCAAAATGATTAAGACCCAGTACAACGTATAAGTTCAGGTACTGCACAGTGACAACGGAGGAGAATATATGCAATCAGAACTTCAACATTTTTTAGTAGTCAAAGGAATTGTTCATTAGAGATCTTGTCCAAATACTCCACAACAGAATGAGGTGGCAGAATGAAAGAACCGTCATCTATTGGAGATGGTCCGAGCTGCACTGATTGGAGCTCACATACTAGCAATATATTGGGGAGAAGCTCTCACATATGCAGTATACACTATCAACCAAACACTGTCTAGGTCTCTTGAGTATAAAATACCTCTTTAATCACTTACAGATGCAGTAGTAAGTCCTAAAATTGTTGAACTAACACATAGAGTGTTTGGTTGTGTTGCTTATGTTCACTTACACAAGCATAAGAGAAGTAAGTTGTCTCCTAGAGCTGAAAGGTGTGAGTTCCTTGGCTATGTGGATCACCAGAAAGGATATCGGTGCTACAATTCACAAACCAAGCAAATGTTTACTACTATAGATGTAGTTTTTCATGAAACCTTGATATATTTTTCCCCCGAGTCTGAAATTCAGGGGGAGAATTATGATGAAGTTCAAACTTTTGTTCCTCAAGAAATTGATATTGAGGTCAGATTGAAGAAAGAAAGTTACAAAGTTGTATCAGGAGATGATGAAAGTATGCAACAATGTTATAATTAACAACCACATAATGAGGAAGATTTTGAGCATGTCCAGATCAAAAATTTGCCTGTTGATGCTGATGATATACCACACCAATCATCTCCTCAAGAACCTAATACAGAAAAAGAATTCTGCTAGATCGTGTCACTAGAGGTATCCCCAAGCCTACTTATGATCCTGACCTCACCAGTAAGCAAGATATGAATAATTATATTTGTAACCAGAATTTGTCTAACTCAAATATCGCATTTATAAGTCAATTATCTACTTATCTATTCCTAACAGTTTGCAGGAAGCTTTAGCTGACTCCAGGTGGAAGGATGCTACGAATGAGGAGATGAGATCCTTGCAAAGAAATAAAACATGGGAATTAGTAGATTGTCTAGTTGGAAAGAAACTAGTAGGATGTCGATGGGTGTATACTGTGAAATTTAATTCAGATGACACAATTGAGAGATTCAAAGCTAGATTAGTGGCAAAGCTGTACACACAAGCATATGGAATAGATTACAACGTTTGCTCCCGTAGCCAAAATTAGTACAGTTCGAGTATTGTTATCTCTAGTTGTAAACCTTGATTAGTTCTTACAATAATTTGACGTAAAAAATGCATTTTTACATGGGGAATTGTCTGAAGAAGTTTATATGGAGCTACCAGAAGGATGTGGGATCCCGAATACACATAGCAAAAAGGTATGCAAGTTGAAGAAGTCATTGTATGGACTAAAACAATCGCCACGAGCATGGTTTGGTAGATTCACCAAGTCAATGCTTGCTTTTGGATATCAACAGAGCAACTAAGATCATACCTTGTTTCTAAAGAAAAAGAAAGGAAAGATTATAATTCTTATTGTCTATGTTGATGACATGATAGTTACAGGAAACGATCTAGAGAAAGGGAAGGCATTGAAAGAGTACTTGGCAAAGGAATTCGAGATGAAGGATCTTGGTCCTTTGAAATATTTTCTTGGAATTGAGGTCTCAAGATCAAAGTCAGGTATTTTTCTCTGACATCGAAAGTATGCATTGGATTTACTGAAAGAAACTGGAATGACAGCATGCAAACCAGAAAATTTTCCAATTGAAGAGGGATTGAAGTTGTGCATTAAAGAAGATCAAACTCCAACTAACAAGGGAAGATATCAGAGACTTGTAGGGAGATTGATGTATCTCTCACACACTAGGCCAGATTTAGCTTATGCTCTTAGTGTGGTTAGCCAGTTCATGCACAATCCAGGTGAAAAACACATGGATGTTGTTATACGGATTTTAAGGTACATAAAAACTGCTCCTGGAAAAGGAGTTATGTTCAAGAAGAACTCCAACTACAAGGATGTGATGGTTTATACTGATGCAGATTGGGCAGGTGCTCTTGATGATAGAAGATCAACTTCTTGATACTTTACATTTGTAGGAGGTAATCTTGTCACATGGAAAAGAAAGAAGCAGAAAGTTGTAGCTAGATCCAGTACAGAAAACTGAACTTAGAAGAATGATTCTTAGACTTTGTGAAGGTTTGTGGCTCAAACTACTTCTCCAGGATTTAGGGTATGCACATACACGTCTCATTTAGTTGTATTGTGATAATAAAGTTGCACGCGACATTGCTTACAACCTTGTCCAACATGATCGGATGAAGCATGTGGAGGTTAATAGATTTTTCATCAAGGAAAAACTTGATAAAAATATTCTAGAATTGTCAAATATTTGATCTGAAGATCAGCTGGCAAACATTCTTACCAAAACTGTGACAAGTCATATTTTTAGGAGATTATTGGACAAGTTGAGAATGTATGACATCCATTTACCAACTTAAGGGGGAGTGTTAGAATAAAGATATTTGATTAACTAAATTATAAGTTTGTATAGCGGTACAAAATACTGAATAATCATAACTTTCTTTATTTAATCATGATTTGTTGGAGTAAACTATAAGATCATAGTATCTGTGTATAAAAATAATATGAATAAAAATTATAAAATGAATTCTATGTTTTTCAATTAAACACCCAATCCAAAATATATTTTTGCATTAACTTTTTCAAAAACTTATTCTAAAACACTCATTCCAGAATATATTTTCAAGAAAATTTTTTCATAATGTATTTCAAATTTCTAGAACTGTCTTTCAAATCCTAAATGTATTTTCATCCAAAAATCTTATTATGCAAATATTGTACCTGACAACAAAAATTGATACAAATTACAAAATTAGAGATTCTTACCAATTTCTTTCAATTCTTGAAATAATAAGGGAAAAAAATGAAAATACTTCAATAAGATTTAGAAATAAGACATTCAAAGGTTTAAAAATAAAAAAATAAGCACGTAAGAAGATGAAAATAGATATAAAAGTAAAATAAGAATTTAATTTAATTAGAGAGATGAAGGAAAAAAACTATAAGGTGTATGTAGGTAGAAAGTGCCAAAAATGACAGGACTATTTCATAAAACAATCTCTTCATTTTGACCCAATGTTGTTATTTAACACGATCCAACTAAGGTAAGTTAATCAAAATGTGAGACTCATTGTAAAGGGAATAAAATATAACTATCATTCCGTACCTTCAAGCGTTTTACAACTTTCTTTATACCTTATTCTTTTTTTCCATTATTATTTACTTTCGTTTAACGTCAATGTTGGTTTATAATTGAGTTTATCATCTCAACATTATCAAATTTCATTATGTCTTGTGAAATAACTAAGAAATTAAAAACTGAGGAACAATTCCTTAGCAAAATTGCGCAATCAACAAAGCAAAATTGCTTTTTGCCGTCAGCTTAAGCAGCTAATATGATCAGCTGATTGTAGTATTGACTTCATGGTTCCAACATTTTTTGGCATGCTTAGTGAGACGAATAGCAAATCTTCGATGTTCCTTTTACCTATCATTGTTACAAGTTACTTCTGCTACTACAGTCTGGCAAAAGGGTCAGAAATATGTCGCCTTCCCGATCATTTGCAAAAAAGTAACAGCCAAATTGTCCATTATGTTTCACAGCCATTTCATTTGTCAATCGAGATTATTTAAGACCCAAATCACAAACATTCGAAAACTAACTTAAAAAAGCTATTAAATTTTGACTACCAAGAGATTTATTTATTTACAACTGGTTTGTATTAGTTTAATTTTTCTTTTCTTTTGTGCGGCCAAACTTGAAAATCATGTATCCTTAAGCAACTATTACTTCCCTTAAACGGCCCATTGCAACACCCGTTAAACAGACAGCTTTAAACGGAACCGCCAATAACTTACATCGTGCGCTTCCAATTTTTTTTCATTTAGCTTCATCATTGGGAAGCAAACAATACTACCAGAAAAGAAAAAAAAATGTCTTCACAGAGAAAAGGAACTTACGGGGAAAACTATGCCAGATGTGCGAACTTATTATATCCACTGGATAACAAATTTGATTAAATTACCACAAGGAATTTTCTCATACAGCCAGTTTTCTATCTTAATACTCCAGGGAAGTTGTCCAAGTACCTTGCACACTAGGGTGTTTGGTTACGTGTCTTGTCCTCAATTTCACCACCTTCCTTCCCAATGCATTCCTTAGCCTAGTTGCGTGCAAATGTATGTCTTCTGGATCCATATTCTTCACACATATCACTCGCTGATTCTTGTTCTCTGCATTTCACAGGATAATCATCCATCACAACAACAAAAAATCTATTCCCACTACGTGGGATCGACTACATCAATCAAACAACACAAAGGCGGGTCACCACACTGGATTTTCCCAATTATTGGATCTTCTTTTCACGATAGTTTCTATCTATCTTTCTCTCTAATGCATTATCTTGTCCAGTGTGTCCACTCATCCATTGTAATAATGAAGCTAAATTTTCTCCTTTCTTTTTACCCTCCGCATTCAGTCCCACGCAACATCTCATAGGAGAATCATCAATTACAACTAAGAAAAATTAGTAAGAAAGCTACAAAAAAAGGGCACAAGAATCTTACATTAAAATCCCTTAAGATGTGGATGCTGACCACGAATTAGTTCAGTAACCACCTCTAATTGAGGATTCTTCTCCTTAAATGCTGGCAAATGAGACTCCATAAAGGCCCTGTCAAATATTCAAAACTAATGTGAGAATCCGCTGTTCAAAGCAGGATAAAAATATGAAAAAATGATGATGCTCAACATAAAGTTCAGTTATGAAGTAGGCATCTACATTTCCACACTGAATTTTACTAGTAAGCAAAATCGAAGAACAAAGATTAAGCCTGCAGTCAAAGGAGAAATATGATCAAGCATGGGAACACAATATCAGTTCCGAAGAACAATTATCTGATTAAAAAACTTTGTTATTATTGGAAGATAAGCTACTATGCAAGACTGTAATGTAACAAATCTCAATCGCTAAGTCATGAAAGGAATGTCAGGTATCCTAATAGGATTCAAACATCAACCACATAAAATAAAGCAATAATCACACAGGTAAGTAAGAAATTTCTGTATTGAGAATGTAATAGAGACAATAATGAAACTCAGAAAAAGGATAATCCCTTTTTCTGCCAAGAGCTAAGCTCCTAATAGAACAACCATGAGGTTCCCCTCCTCAAAACCAACCGAAAAATCCCTTCCTCTCCTACTCCCAAAACATGACTATTTTCATAACAGAAAATATTCTTCCTCTCTCCTCTAACAACCTCAGAAATCTTTCATGCCACATCAGCATTCTTTTTCTTCTTACGTGCATACATAATCCATTTCCTTGGACCTCCTTTGTTCTCATGGGCCAGTGGTTCACTTTCCTGTTTACCTTGGGCCTTATCAATACTTCTCCCTTCAATTTCAGTCTTGTCCTCAAGACTTAGTTCTGGGAATTGACTCCTCAAAGTCAGTTCATCTTCCCATGAAGCCTCCTCTGTTGATTTCCCCTTCCATTTCACCAACCACTGATTTGTCCTCTCCCCTCCTTTCATCAAGCTACGAGATGCCAACACTGATTGAGGTTCCATTTCGTCCACTCTCTCATCCTCAAGCCCTGCCTGTGGGAAGAGAAGTTTCGGTTTTGTAATTCCCTATTGCCTTCTTCAGCAAAGATACATGAAACACAGGGTGAATTCTTGCTTCTGGAGGTAGTTTCAACTTATAGGCTACTGCCCCAATCTTCTCTACCACTTCAAAAGGCCCATAATATCTAGCACTTAACTTCGGACTAATTCTTGCTGCCACTGAATGTTGTCTATGATGTTTGAGCTTCAAAAATACCATTTCACCTATTTCAAAGCTCCTCTCTTGTCGATGTTTATCTGCCTGCCCCTTCATGCGTTCTTGAGCTCTAATCAAATGCTTTTTGAGTTGACTAAGGGCTTCATCACGATCATTTATTTCCCTCTGCACTGACTCAACCCTGATTTCTCCTTGAACCCCTCTTATCAATGACGGTGGTGGTTTGCCATATACCGCCTCAAATGGGGTGGTTCCAATTGACATATGGTAAGTAGTATTAAACCAGTACTCAGCCCAAGGAAGCCACAAAGCCCATCCTTTAGGCTGATCAGTAATGAAACATCTTAGATATGTCTCCAAACAGCGATTTACCACTTCGGATTGTCCATCAGTTTGTGGATGATACGCTGTACTCATGAGAAGCCTTGTTCCCGGCATTTTAAAAAATTCTTTCCAATAAAGACTCATGAACAAAGGGTCCCTGTCACTAAGCACCGAATTAGGCACCCCATGAAGTCTTACAACTTCTTTAACAAACACCTCTGCTATGGTTCTTGCTGTATAAGGATGTTTCAAGGCAATGAAATGGCTATATTTTGTCAAACAATCCACTACCACTAATATGGCTTCAAAACCTTTCGATCTTGGTAACCTCGTGATAAAATCAAGAGAAATATCTTCCCACACCTTCTCTGGTATTGACAGTGGTTGTAACAAACCTCCCGGGACAGTAGTGGCATATTTTTTATGCTGACATGTGTCACAAGATTGGACATACTTCATTACCTTATTTTTCATACCCGGCCAATATACATTTCCTGCAATTGCAATTCTCCTGTACGTTCTCAGAAATCCAGAGTGTCCTCCTTGTGGTGTAGAGTGGAATTCTTCGATGTTTATCCGTCCACTCAAAATTTGGAGACACCACTATTCTGTCTTTATAAAACAGAATTCCTCGTTGATAAGTGAAACCCGGACGGTTCTTACTTCCCTGCTCCAAGTCTTCAATGATTATCTTCAATTTCTCATCTCTGTGAACTTCATCAATTATTGTTTGGCTATCTATCCAAATCGGTATAGACATCATATTCTTCAATTCCCCCTCTTCAAATTTTCTGGACAGTGCATCAGCTCCGTTGTTTTCCAATCCTGGTTTATATACAATTTCAAAATTGTAGCCAAGGAATTTGGCCACCCAATTTTGTTGACTTCCATTAGTGATTCACTGCTGCTGCAGCAACTGTTTAAGACTCCTTTGATATGAATAAACCTTGAATTTACACCCCAATAAATACGGCCTCCAGTGCTGAATTGATAGAGCTACAGCCATAAGCTCTTTTTCATATGCAGACTTTGTTAAGTTTCTACTTCCTAGAGCCCTGCTAAAATAAGCCACAGGCCTACGTTCTTGCATCAATATGGCCCCAATACCCAGTCCGGATGCATCACACTCAAGCTCAAACTCCTACTCAAAATTCGGTAGAGCTAAAACTGGAGTTGTATTGATCATCTTCTTCAATTCCTCGAATGCATGTTGCGCTTTTTCATTCCACTTAAAACCTTCTTTCTTGGTCAATTCATTAAGAGGTTTAGCTATTTTTCCATAATTCCGAATGAACTTACGATAGTAACCTGTAAGTCCTAGGAATCCCCTTACTCCTTTTACATTTTTTGGGATTGGCCACTCCATTACACTTTTGACCTTGGTTGGATCAACTTCAACTCTTTTCCATGAAATCACATGTCCCAGATATTCAACACTTTCTTGGGCAAAATTACATTTCTCCTTGTTGGCATATAACTTTAGATGCCTCATAACTTCCAGAACCGTTTTTAATTGAACCAAGTGCTCTTTCCATTCAGAGTTATACACCAATATATCATAAAAAAAATACTAAAACTCCCCTTCGAAGTAGATCATGAAATACCTCATTCATCAATCCTTGAAATGTTGCTGGAGCGTTCATGAGCCCAAAAGGCATCACAAGGTACTCGTAATGTCCTTCGTGGGTTCTAAAAGTTGTCTTCTCAATGTCTTCCTCCCTCATCCTAACTTGATGGTATCCTGATTTAAGATCCAACTTTGAAAAGTATTTAGAACCATGCAATTCATCTAACAGTTCTTCAATTACAGGGATAGGAAATTTATCTAGAATTGTAGCCTTGTTAAGAGCACGGTAGTCCACACACATTCTCCAAGTGTTATTTTTCTTCTTGACAAGGATTACAGGGCTTGAATAGGCACTATGGCTGTGACATATATGTTCATTCTCCATCAACTCCTTAACTTGTTTTTAAATTTCATTTTTCTGGTGATAAGGATAACGATATGACCTCACATTAATTGGCTCTTGATTTGGCTTCAGTAAGATTTTATGCTCCCTCGAACGAACTGGTGGTAACCCTTTTCCAACTAACACGTCAATAAATTTGTCAAGTAATTCCTCCAATTCCCCTTGCTGTTGATTCGTGATTTTTCTTTTTGGAATATCCTGTGAGTCTCACACTAACTCCTTGATTTGGGCTGCTAGAGACTCTTCATTTTGCACCCTTTTTAACAGCTTCGTCCCTTGATTAGTGGTAATCCTCATCGTTTGCCTTCCCCAATCAATCAACATTTCCCCCAAATATGTTAGCCAAGACATTCCTAGAATCATATCAATGTCCTTTAAGTCAAAGAGTACAGCGTCAATATTGAATGTCTCGCCATTAACCTCAACTTCAATTCCGCGATAGACTCCTTGTGCTTCAGCTTTATGACCATCACCCATCAAAATTCGCATCTTCTTTGTAGGATCCCAATTCCATTCCATAGCTTCCACCAAACGTTTGGAAATGAAATTATGTGTGACTCCTCTGTCGACGAGCAGAGAAAGAGATAGGCCTTGAACCTTGCCTTCCAATTTCAAAGTTTGGGGAGGATTCTGCTTTCCTATTTTCAAATCAAATAACCCAATGACACTACATTCTCCTTCATCGTCGTTGTCACCATTCCCATCACCTATATGTTCTTCCTCATCGCACTCCACCTGTAATTCATTGTCCAACATAATCACCCTTAGTTGTTTTACTGGGCATTGATGCAAGGGCCCATACGTTCCTGCACACGTAAAACAAAGACCTTTTTGCCTTCGATTCACTAATTCTTGATAAGCCAGATGTTTAGTTCCTCTATCCCGAGGCCCATCTCTATTTTCTCCTGCTTCCCCCTTCGTATTTGGGTCAGGCCCATTCACTCTACTGCTTGCTCCATATGTTTTCGGAGCTACCCGACCCGAAATTGAGGAATAATTTATGGATCTCAATTGGCCCGTTCCTATCACATGTGTCTCACTCCTCCTCTGCCATCCTCTGTTTCGCATATGAATTTCAGAGTCCACCGCTCTAGCTGCATTCATCAATCTTCCCCTTGTCAACGGGTTCACCACGTGTAAGCTCCTCAGTCGCGCCCTTGTTTCCTCACGCAAACCATGAGTGAAATAAGAAAAGTATTGTTCATCCTATAATCGAGGTACTTGGGCCACCAATCGCTCAAACGTTCGATGTATTCTTCAATGCTCCCATTCTGTTTCAATGATGTCAATTGATCGAACATACTCCCTTCGCCCATTCCTCCATATCTTTCCAACAATTCCCTCTTTAAATCCTCCCACGTTAGCTCATCATAATCGTTCAACAAGACGTTGAAAAAGTGTATCATTCCTCCCTCCATGCACAAATTTGTCAAGTTGACACGCACCGCTTGACTAGTCTGTTGAACCTGGAAATAGATCTCTGCCCTTAACATCCATCCCGCGGGATCCTCGCCATTAAATGAGGGAAGCTCAATCTTCTTCACAGATTGACTAAATTCTTCTAATGCTTGCCCTTCGCGCGTGTTCATACCCGAGGCCACTCCAGAATGTTTTTTCTTGTTTGATACACTCTTCCTCTTCACTGACCCTTCATCTTCCCCCTCTAAATCCTTTCCAGCATTTCGAGTCAAAAGCTCGACGAGTATCGAGTGGTTCTCTTGAACTTCGCGTTTCAACGCTTCTTGAAAACTCTCCATCGTTATTCTCATTTGGGCCACCTCGTTTTCCATAGAACTAACACGTGCTTCCATGTTTTCCTTGTCCGCTAATCTTTCTGGCTTAGATTGATTTCCCTTCTTCGGTGGCATTCAAAGTCCCGATGAAGTATCCGGCAGGTCAGACCAATTAATAGGATTCAAACATCAGGTAAGTAAGAAATTTTTGTATTGAGAATGTAATAGAGACAATAATGAAACTCAGAAAAAGAATAATCCCTTTTTCTGCCAAGAGCCAAGCTCCTAATAGAACAACCATGAGGTTCCCCTCCTCAAAACCAACCGAAAAATCCCTTCCTCTCCTACTCCCAAAACATGACTATTTTCATAACAGAAAATATTCTTCCTCTCTCCTCTAACAACCTCAGAAATCTTTCATGCCACATCAGCATTCTTTTTCTTCTTACGTTCATACACAATCCATTTCCTTGGGCCTCCTTTGTTCTCATGGGCCAGTCGTTCACTTTCCTGTTTACCTTGGGCCTTATCATATCCACTCATTAAATTACATATCATCTTATAAAATCAAGATGACAGAACATTTATGAACTATTCACTCCATTCTTTCAAAACTCACAAACAATGACTTAGGGATTGTTTGCAATTTGCAATGTTATAAACAAATAAAGTGCACTATAGTAATTCAGAAAACCTATAAACCCAGATACCAAAAAGTAAAAATAAAAACTTTATTGTTCCTAATAGCATGAATGTGAATATGGGAGTAAATATATTAAATTGAAGATATAGTACGAATGTATATATATCTTATACCTCTGCTACTTCCACCCCAGTCGCAATAGCTGACAATCAGCTTGTTGAGCTGCCAAACCCCCCTTAAAGCCATCTACAAATTTAATTCCGCAAATTGCCAAAATGAAACTGAGAGATTGCAAATGTGAGTTTCAAGGAAATGAAGGCAAATTAGCTGCGATTAACATTCACAAAGCAAGTTAGCCCACTTTGACCAACAACCCTGCCGAAAGGGGACAAGATGGGTTGGCCCATCTTTTGGAAAGGGGTTAAAAAAATTAACCCCCAGTGTTTTGCAAATTGGTGGGTTAGCTTGCCTGAATAATTCAAAAATTAGTAAAATGAAGATGTTACTATGATGTTTAGTTGAGCAGTGAGAGTGGGTGGTGGCCACGCTCCATATATCATCCAAGTATGTGGTATGAGGATAGTTCTACCCTTATCAACCAATCCAACATGCCCTTTAACAGTTAATACTATAGAGGAGCATCTTCATCTTCATATGTTCGTAAAATATAAATCTGGTAGTAATTAAATATATTTTGTACAACTGTGGTTCTCAATATACACTCTCTGTTACATGGAGATAGTCTGCATCATCTGAATAGGGATATTGTGCAACTGGGACGGTAAAACCCAATCAATAATGTAATTGTCAAAATAAAAAAAAATGATACAAAAAATAGTAACCATGGTCCAAAAATCAGTCACTTGTTAATGTCATAATATTCATTTAAATGATCCATAACCAACTTAACAGTTATATTACATATGAATAAACTGTACAACATTCATCAATGAAGATGAACAAATAATCAAATACAATATCTACATTTCTATTCCTAGATGAGGATATTAACTCCTGATTCAATAACCATGACTTGTCGATGAAGATTTTGAGGATGAAGTACCCATCTGCATACATATTCTTCTCGAAATTTCTGAACTTGCTTCTGTACAATATGAAGAATGTCATAATAAATTATATTCATAGTAATAAAAAACAAAACAATAATACAATGACTTTAATGTTTACCGATGTGTAATGAGGCATGCTTTTCCCATTCACTTTGCTCACACCATCCCACAACTCCATATATTTTAAAACAAACAATCCACAATCATACCTGCACAATTGAATGTAGTTATTACACACATTATATACAACATTTTGCAAACAAAATTTCAACTATAATAACATACTAACATGTTTGGTTGAATTGGCAAGTCCTCCTTTGTAACCTTAAGTTCTCCAGTGGTCCTCGATGACTTTGTTTCCAACAGCGACAATAGATGTTCAAAACATTGCAACTGTTCACAATATTATATTATTCGCCAAATAAACATAGCTCTGAATTAACTATATTACCTACGTAGACAACTTAAAACAAATATTTACCATAACTCTATCAATTGGTTTTCGTGATCTATTATCATGGCCCATAACATACACATACCTTTTTGTCTTCATGACGGTCTCTTTTTGCAGACATTTTTTCCCAAACTAATCCTATTACAAATTATTAAAATTAAACTTACAATGACAAAATAGTTAAAAAGGAAAAATTTAGTCCAAGAATGTTACACATAATTTTGGTGAAATTGTGTATTATGCAAACGTGGGTGTAAATCTTGTGCATATTATACAAAATGTTTGTGATGCAAATACAATTCTTCATTGTAGCATTTCATCAAACACTTGTTGGACATTAATATAGCGTCACAACTCAATTAACCCTATACCCTGAAGAACACTTTCATTACAAACTCAATCAAAGATAAACAGAAAACAAAGCAACAATGCGAGAATACAATTCTTCATTGTAGCATTTCATCAAACACTTGTTGGACATTAATATAGCATCACAACTCAATTAACCCTAAACCCTGAAGAACACTTTCATTACAAACCCAATCATAGATAAACAGAAAACAAAGCAACAATGCGCAAATACAATTATTAATTGTGGATCACAGTCTATGATAGAGAGGCAATTTCAGTTGGAGTACACACATGCAAAATTTGCAGAGGTTCAAGCAGAATTTAGAGGAAAAATGAACTGCAGTGTTGTGCATGTGTCTTGCCTTGGATCCGCTTGGTTTTATGACGTTATGGAGGAATCTATTTGCGGTGAAGATTCTAAAGAACACCTGTACAGTGTAAGTTTCAACCGTGATGACCAAAATGTTAGTTGCACGTGCTTGCTATTTGAATTCAAAGGTATTCTTTGCCGACATTGTTTGGTCGTCCTTGCTCAACAAAGGGTTAAAAAGATTGAGTGCAAATACATTTTAAGTAGATGGAGTAAAAATGTGAGAAGGAAGCATACTTATATGAAAACCACGTACAATGTAAAGGAGAAGCAACCGCAGATTCAAAGATATGATGAGTTGTGCAAAAGATTTTACGAGATTGCGGAAGTTGCATCAGAGTCAATTGAGCAGACGGACATGTTGCATGAAATGCTGAATAAATTTGCTCCAACACATAAATGTTGACAACGTTGATATTGACATTCGTAGCCCGTTGCAAGTTAAAAGGAAAGGAAGACCACGTTCCCTCCGAAAGGTGTCAACCCTTAACGTAGAAACTCATTTTGATTGTCGGCCATCTGGATTGGTGTGTGTCAGAAATGAAATTTATTTCATGTTATAGTGATTGTTAAATTGAATTTCCTTTATTTAAAGTGTGATATACTGTTTATGCAGTATATGTTATGTAAAATGGCAGTAAAGTCATATGTCAAAACTCATGTAAATGTTGCCCTTTGCAGCCATCAACATTGGGTACCACTCGGTTTTGTGTCATTGTTGACATCACTTGACAAGTAATGTTGACGGCACACAATTGTCTTCCTCAACAAAATGATTTGGAAACATTGTTTTTTTAATGAATTACTCGTTAACAATGAATATTATTACATTAGTTTTGAATTTCATTACGTTGATGTATACTAATAATTTCTTCTTTAACATGCAGGACATAAGTGTTAATATCTACTACATAGAATTTTGCAGTGTTATTTCAACTGCACATGTTAACAATATAACAATGTTGATTGACGAGAGCTTTTTTGATTCAATGTCTTGTTGGTTGGATAACGTCATCGAGTAGTGTAGACTATACATTCTGATTTTGTTAGAGTATATATGATAGGACATAAACGTGCAACGATAGTGTAGACTATACATTCTGATCTTGTAAGAGTTGTGGATGTAAATATAACAATGTAACAGCAATTGTAATTTCTTCAATGCATTTATCAGCAGTTGATGGTCCATACATTTACGTAACAATCATCGGTTGTAGACATTTATCAGACATGTGATAAAAAACAAGTTGAGTTTTTAAACAAGTTTATCAGCTTTCTTTAACAAGTTTTTAAACAAGTTCATCCAGACATTTATCAGCTTTCTTAAACAAGTTTTTAACTGATACAGCTTTGATAGAACCGATTAAAATTACTTAGAATATTCAGAGAAGTGTTTTTACAGTATTCTAATCGATACAACTTGAGTTTAATGGGTGAAAACCACTTGGAGTTCAGGATGATCGATCAGAAAACAATTATGACCGATCAGAATAAGATATGATCGATTAGAATTGAATTATGACCAATCACAATCATTTATGATCGATCAGAATTTAGTTATGACCGATCAGAAATATTTTGATCGATTAAATCTCGTTTCAATCGATTAAAACAACTTAGAAAATTTCTACACAGCATTTCAATCGATTAAAACTTATTTATATCAGTTAAAATAACTTGAAAAGTTTTACAAGAAAGTTGTGCAGTATTTCAATCGATTGAGTCACGAAACAATCGATTAAATCAACTTAGAAGATTTTTTTGTAAAGTGTTTTAATTGATACAAACGTTGTCGTATCAGTTAAAACAAATCTGTTAAAGAATCAAGAACGTATTAATGGATTAAAAGAAGTTTTAACAGATTAAAACTGCACTTTTAACAGATTAAAAAAATCTTTTAACAGATTAATTAAACCAGCAGTTTTGAAAATCTTCTATAAAAACAGAGTTGCTTGAACTTTTTAAACACACATTGAATATCATCTTTTACACATCCTTGAGCAATCAATAAAGCAAACTTCAGCACTCTTTTCAAGAAAGATTCGCATCAGTATTTGAGAAGTTCTTTGAAAATCTTTCTTGAGGCAACTTGATTTCTTTTGAAGAAGAAACACTTACAGCAGAATTGCATAAACTGGTTTGAGCATTCTAGTTTCTTCTTTTTCATTTCTTTACATTCTTTTTATAACATTTAGATAGCGGTTATTTGGCCAACCGCTATCTGAACTATACATTATGATCGATTAT